ACGATTAAATCAACAAAAAGGCGGGGGAAGGGGAGTGTTATAGTTTAATGACTTTGTAATCACGTCGATTTATGGGGGATTATGTGGGCTGAGTATTTTATTTGCGAAAACCAGTATCGATTTCAGATCGAATAAAAATCGATAACCGTTCTAATGTGTTGTACGAGAAGCTGTTAGAATGTTTCAGGAACTGCGACCACACACTGTGACACTACCGCTGAGAGTGTTTCATGTGTTGTTTTTTGTGTTTTGTGACTAGAACTGACACTTTTGTTTTTGTGACTGGTAAGTCACAAGTATTTGTTGTCTTTGTTACTAGGCCAAGATTTGTTGTATTTGTTACTAGGCCAAGATTTGTTTACCTTTCCATTACTGGTGGTTGTTGTTGTCTCTGTGCCTTGAATAATATTTGTTTTCTACAACTTAGACTTACAAAACAAATACTACATTATTAGATCAATATTTGTATGCAATATAATAGGTTCGATCTGTGCTATGTCAATGCAGTGGGTAGGGGTTATTCGTAACAATAAATATGTACGGTAGCTTTTTTTAACAATAAATATTTACGGTAACTTTTTTAAACAATAAATATTTACGGTAATTTTTTTAGTTCAGTCAGCAGTTTTCCAACAAGCCACTCCAACATGACACCCCAACATGACACCCAAACAAGACACCCCAACAAGACACCCCAACATGACACCCAAACAAGACACCCCAACAAGACACCCCAACATGACACCCCAACAAGACACCCCAACATGACACTCCAACAAGACACCCCAACATGACACCCCAACAAGACACTCCAACAAGACACCCCAACATGACACCCCAACAAGACACCCCAACAAGACGCTTCAACAAGACACCCCAACATAACATCATGACATGGCACTCCATGTTTACACTTCATCACAACACCGCCATGTCAACTACAACAATAAAAATTACAAAATACAACTAACTCGCCTTAAAAATTGAGCAACAAACAATTCACCTCCAAAACTAGAACAAACAACCAGCTTAAAACCCTCTAATCTAACAAACAACAATTAAAAAAACAAACGAAAAACCATTCTAAAAACACAACCAACTTACAAACATTGCCATTACCAACAAACAGCCAACTGTCAAACAAAACCTAAACAAACCATTTAAAAACTGTCAACAAGCACTTAACGGGACAGCCAGCAGGGGTGTGGGGGGGGGGGGGGGTAGTGCTTCAGTCCGATTCTAATATCGGAGCTTAAGATGATGTGAGGCTGGGTGGGGTGAGGGAGGGTGGAACAGCTCTCCTGCATTAAAGATTATCGATTGATTTCCCGTGTGTTTTGTTTGATGTGGCGACATGGAAATTCCTAATCGAGTCGGTTCGATGGGATAAAATCAATCGGATTTAGGCGTATTAAACTAGGGATTTTCTAAGTCCAGAAACGAATTAACAAAGAAAAAATTTGACTTGTTGAAGTATTAGATCAGCGCTATATGTCGTGAGTGAACAAATTAGTTTCAGTATTTTTTTTTACATTTGTATTACACACAGTATTCTGTTTTGGGAAGTCAAGGAGTAGACTAGGGTGAGATGTGTTATAAATTATCGTCAAGACTAAAGAACAACGTGATACAGAGTCGTATAGGTTTTCTTCTAGGCCAGGTATAAAGTGTAAGGTGATGACTAGGGTTAGGATTCTCGTCCAACATAAATAATGGCATGGAATACGACCAACCGTTTATTAATTATCCTAAGATGACATCCAGTTAATAAGGGGGGGGGGGCCTTCAATACTTCCTTTAACAGATCGTCAACATATTACATCACACAATTTCAGCCGTTTTTAGCCCACATTCCCTTCTATTGTCTCACGTCTTCACCATTAAGTAACCCCTTCCTTATAAAGACGTCAAAAAATTAACCCCTTCCTTATAAAGACGTCACAAAAATTAACCCCTTCCTTATAAAGACGTCACAAAAATTAACCCCTTCCTTATAAAGATGTCACAAAAATTAACCCCTTCCTTATAAAGATGTCACAAACATTAACCCCTTCCTTATAAAGATGTCACAAAAATTAACCCCTTCCTTATAAAGACGTCACAAAAATTAACCCCTTCCTTATAAAGATGTCACAAAAATTAACCCCTTCCTTATAAAGATGTCACAAACATTAACCCCTTCCTTATAAAGACGTCACAAAAATTAACCCCTTCCTTATAAAGATGTCACAAACATTAACCCCTTCCTTATAAAGATGTCACAAAAATTAACCCCTTCCTTATAAAGATGTCACAAAAATTAACCCCTTACTTATAAAGATGTCACAAAAATTAACGCTTCCTTATATAGACGTGACAAAAATTAACCCCTTCCTTATAAAGATGTCACAAAAATTAACCCCGTTCACTATGAAGACGTCAAGGATGTGGGTAGGTAGTCAAAGTTCCAAACACCCCTACCCCCCTCCCTAATGCAATGAGCATGCTTTTATCGTTTAACGTTTCTAAGAAATATAAACACATGCAACCTATTTTTAATTCCCATCGCCATTCAAGTCTTGACCCTTGTTTTCTTGTTTATTTATATCTCTTTCTTCTATTCATCCTGTAGTTTGTATCGCTTAACTTTTGTGTAAATATCTGCTGTCTGTATAATCTGCTATGAACAAAAGTGTGAGTTTTAAAAAATGTTGCCAGCATGTGTAACTATGTCAGCTCTCATCTCAACCTACGTCCACTGGCTACATCAATTCTCTACGTCTTAAACTCTTGAAATTCTTAGCACAAAATGAAATCAGACAACTATATTTTGTGGCATGAATATTGCTGGAGTGGGGGGAGATGTTTCTGTTTCCAAAGTATGCGAGCAAATTCATGATTACTTGCAGAGGGGGGGGGGGGTGATACCATTGTAAGGAGCGTTTGGGGAGGGGGGGTATCTGATACTATAATACTATAGCTGATCCGGTTGTTGTACCGGTAATCCATGACTGACTTCAGGCACTGGCTTATCTACCTTGTGGCTTATCTACCTTGTTTTGATCCTGTTAGTACCCTCCCCTCCCACCTCGCTTCTACCACTCCCCCCCCCCCCCCTCCCTACATAGTACCTTCCATACGCTGATCGTATTTCACCAATGGCCTGTATGTTTATATTTGATTCACCACGTATGTAGAGCGTCTTGTAGCCATTCAACCCACGGGCTGTTTGTGTACACGGAACAGATTATGAGCTAAGTGCTGATAATGGGTCAGGCCGGTACGTCGTGCCCCCCCCCCACCTCCCTTCCCCCCCCCCCCCCCCCCCTCGGGTGCCAGACCGCCAATGTTACCGACAGTACTACGGCAGATAGCGGTGTCAAATGTCCACGCAACACAATAGCCGTGCTTCATGTTGTTGTTAGAATAGTGGATTCACATGAAGCTATAGGGTAGTTAGAACTGTATGATAGTAGCTCAATATGACACAGTAGTTAGAACTGTATGATAGTAGCTCAATATGACACAGTAGTTACAACTGTATGATAGTGTCTTCGTATGAAGCTTCAATGTACTTATTACTTTATGAAAGGACCCTACTTTCAACATTCGCCTCATGTTGATCTATAATCCATGTTGTTGATAGAATTATTTGTTGTCTCTATATAAGACTGTCTACACAAGGTAGCAAGAATTTGTATTTACTTTTTTCTAAAGAAGTTGACGTGCATCTATGTAAAGAATACTTTTAGGCATCTTTTAAATGCCCCCCCCCCCCCACCTCCGGAGGATATAGAAAATTATATAATTTATATGAGTGCCCCCTTCGGAAGTTTCACGCGTGCCCACCCTCCCCCGTCGGAAGTTAAAAGCGTGCCCCCCCCCACCCCCTCGGAAGTTTAAAGCGTGCCCACCCTCCCCCCTCGCAGACAAACTGTGTATGTCTCTATTGCAAATATGAAGATCGTATATGTATATGTCGCTATCAAAGCACAAAATGTGTATAGGTCTATATATCTCTATATCTCCTGTATGTATGTCTCTATCGGAGCACAAGATCCTGTATGTATATGTCTCTATCGGAGCACAAGATCCTGTATGTATATGTCTCTATCGGAGCAAAAGATCCTGTATGTGTATGTCTCTATCGGAGCAAAAGATCCTATATGTATATGTCTCTATCGGAGCAAAAGATCCTGTATGTGTATGTCTCTATCGGAGCAAAAGATCCTGTATGTATATGTCTCTATCGGAGCAAAAGATCCTGTATGTGTATGTCTCTATCGGAGCAAAAGATCCTGTATGTATACGTCTCTATCGGAGCAAAAGATCCTGTATGTATGTCTCTATCGGAGCAAAATATCATGTATGTATATGTCTCTATTGGAGCAAAAGATCCTGTATGTGTATGTCTCTATTGGAGCAAAAGATCCTGTATGTGTATCTCTATCGAAGCAAAAGATCGTGTATATATGTCTCAGTGAAGCGTGTATTCCACCCAGCAAGCCAGTCGCTCTATAGCCCGTGAATCTTCTATGGTTTCAGATTTCATAACTGTCAAACAATTAACGGCTCTATTCGCTACGATACCCCCACACCCCACCCTCCCCGCGTTTTGGTGAATAGAACAGATACTTGAAGCAGCATTGACATTATAAAGCCCGATGATAGATACATACTTGTGCCGTGGGCTGGTGGATGTACCATTGAAAAACACATGATATACAAAACAGGATTTTAATTTAAAAGAAGCAACAATTAAACAAAAGCATAAAAGTGCGAAATTGTTATTAAGTATAGATCTACTTACATTTTGGATTTATGATAGTCTACTCAATCGTCATTTAAACCTTTGAATAAATTACATGTCCTATTGAAATAAATATTGAAACAGCCAAGAAAATTCACGGCACATAAATCCAGTATCACATGATTAAGAAAAGAAATCACATGTATTAAGCCATCTGCTATAAGACTTTACCGGTTCTGCGTCCGTACGAAATGTTGCACAAAAAAGTTACCGTGAACGTCCCCGCTAGTCTCCCCTGTGTAGACCCAGCCGGTGAGAGACGGTCGACCGTCGCCTGTCGTAGACCGCGTCAGGTGCTTTGTGCGAGTGTGAAACCTGCGCCGGGCTGGGCCTCTGTTGACGGGGGACGTCGCACGTCGCCGGTCAGCCGTTAGCCGTCGTGTGAGGGGGTTGTTTGCTAAAGGGCAGGAACAGATGCCCTGGTTGTCTTATGCTGGGGGAATTAATTGATGGCAGTTAATTAATGATACAGATCTTAACACATTGCTACTTTAGTGATAATTAGAGATACAGTATTAGATAAAAAATAGAGAATGCAATGCGATAGGCATAGACACTCACACACGCACACATGCACATACACACATATGCAGATACTAATACGCATACAGATACCCATACCCATACCATTTCCCATACCTGTACACGCACAAGCACATACACGAACATAGAAATAAAAAACAATTTTTTTCTTTCATAGTACAAAACGTTAAAATAAAAAGTTAATAGTTTTATTTTACGGCCATTAAAACCGACATTTTGAAAGGGCAAGCAAAAGTTTCTTTGTTGAACAAATCACCTACAGACTGATTTCACTAGACCTGAGCAATCTGCTGCATGTTTTAACGTGTTTTTGTTTGGTTTTCTTACAGCGATCCCTAGACCAATGGGTGAAGCGGGGTCAGAGGTCAGGCGCGGGTCGCAACTTGATTTCTCTCAGCGTACGGTGTCACCAGATTTTGTTGATACAAAAGATTGCTCTGATAGAGCGACCGGTGGGTTTTCTTACTCGAATAGTAAGGTGGGCTTTTATACACATTTGGGGTTTTTTTTAGCACAAATAATTATGTGGGATTTCTAATCAAAATAATAAAGTGTGTGCATCTGTAAACATGTGGGTTGTTCTACAACCATCTCCACAGGTGCGTTCAGAGTATCTTCCAGGCATCTCTTCGAAAAAATTCTACCGCCCCCCCCCCCCCCCCCCCCCCGAACGAAATGAAATTTATATAATTTATATAGAAAATTAGAAAATAAATACTTTTAACAGTGTCCGCCCCCCCCCCCCCCCTGAAGAAAGTCTACCGCCCCCCCCCCCCCCCCCCGAAAATTTCAAGTGCCCCCCGGAGAAAAAAGTCTGGAAGAAACACTGGGTGCGTTGTTCTACAATCATCTCCACAGGTGGGTTGTTCTACAATCATCTCCCCAGGTGGGTTGTTCTACAATCAACATAAAATTATCGGGAAGGGGGGGGGGGACCGGACTAAAATTTTCGGGTGGGGGGACACTGTTAAAAGTATATATTTTCTATAAAAATTCGTTCGTGGGGGGGGGGGGGGGGAGGCGGTACTTCCGATAGAATGCAAACATTAGACAAAAATGTATACGTCAAAAGTTACACACCTAATTGCTGAAGATGCGATATTTAATTTTCTTTTTCCAGTTTGGAAGCTATTTTAAAATTTAAACAGTATATAACAATATAAATAAACCGCGACCCGATTAAGAAAGATTCTGGGATGCGAACTGCCGGTAACGGACTGTTCGTAAATCGCCCCCCCCCCCCCCCTCCCTTGTGTATATTAGTACTACATGAGTCGCGTTTTAATAAGATAGAAAAGAACGTACATTGTGCTCTGTCAATGACGTCATCGTTTGCTTGGAGCACGGTGCTATTCAGTGCCTGCACCAAGAATGCCTGCTGGTAAACGGATGAGGATTGTAAGAAAGAGCCGGATTAGAACAGTCCTACACCATGCACTAAAACGGTTTTCTCTAGGGCGGCTCCGTTTTAGGATAGGATTGGGTTACTACCACCATATGAAAGGAAGGCTCCACCGGTAAGTAGATGGTGTTCAGGCCTGTTTGTTCATTGACTTCTTTTTAATTAGGTTTGGTGATGTAGTGTAAAAGGTGGCGATATTTGACTTATGATAAGCCATCATAAGCGGATGGCATTGAAACAAGATGCAGTGTAACAACAACATGAAACCATTGGAACAATCGTTTCAACGTGTGCAATGGAGATAATCACTAGAAATATTTAGTGTGAGATAACTTTGTAGATCTAATGACCTCTGAATCTTAAAATAAACGCTGTATTGACTAAAATGAATTGCTCTTTACAAAACTGAGCACACAGTAGGGCGTATCAGCGCTTTTAATCAGAGTTTCTTCCAGGCATCTCTTCAGTCTACCGCTCCCCCCCCCCAGAACGAAATGGAATATATATAGAAAATATATACTTTTAACAGTGTCGCCCCCCCCCCCCCCCCCCCGGAACCGGAAATTTTAGTCCGCCCCCCAAAAATTTTTAGTCATGTTAAGGTAAGTGCAGAGGCGGAGCGACCCTTCCCGGCGCCCGAAGACATACTTTCAATTTGGCGCCCCCCTCGGGAGCAAATTTTCGATTTGCACCCCCCCCCCCCCATCGAACTTTTCATTTGCACCCCCCTTCAAACTTTCGATTTGCACCCCCCCTCGAACTTTTCATTTGCACCCACCCCCCCCCTCAAACTTTCGATTTGCACCCCCCCCCCCCTCGAACTTTTCATTTGCACCCCCCCTCTCAAACTTTCAATTTGGCGCCCCCCCTAAGGTCGGCGCCCGGGGACATATGTCCCCCCCCTCGCTACGCCTCTGGGTAAGTGTGGCGAATAGTTTTGTCAATGATAAAATAATAAGTTGTTTTTTTTTTTAATTACTTTTTCAATATACATTTCAGACCTAATAATTCTTTTTTCATGACGAATATTCTTTAAACACACTCTTTGCCAGGGTTCTGCTGATCATCGATATTTTTTTAGCTGTGGTCTTGTTATGAGGCTAATGAGAATCAATTCTATTTTAGCTGTGGCCTTACCATGCGCAGAAAGCTTGTGAAAATCTAAAAACATTGAAAGCAACAAAATGGAATTGCTGGGAGAAACAGTAGAAGCTCCATACGTCCTGATACACGCCAAAAAACCAGAGCAAATAAGCAGGTAAGGTTTTGACATACACTTTTCTAAAACCCTTTTTTTCTTACTTGAGTGTTCTTGTGTCAGTAATGACAATGTTGTGATCGAGAATACGAACCCTAAAGTCTCAAGGAATTCACGGGTTCAATCCGTTACGATGTTGTTGAGTTTATCCAGTTCTTGTGGGTACGTAAGTTGGGTCGGGGAGAAAACTACCAGCTCTCAAAGTCACCTGACCTCTATTGAGTGGGCTCATGCAACACAACCTTTAGCCTCTAAAGCTGGCGCCATGGGTGTAGGCTGTAGTTGTACATCATGTTAGCCCCACTCCGCTTTGTGTGGCGTCGTGGGCCAGAAATATTCCAAACGATAGAAATATTCATGTTTTGTGAAGTGGACAAATTCAATTGTTTCTCCCACAGTGGTGGTGCTGGTTTTTTTTGTTTCTCCCACAGTGGTGGTGCTGGTTTTTTTTGTTTCTCCCACAGTGATGATGCTGGTTTTTTTTGTTTCTCCCACAGTGACGGTGCTGAGGTATTTTTGTTTCTCCCACAGTGACGGTGCTGAGGTATTTTTGTTTCTCCCACAGTGACGGTGCTGAGGTATTTTTGTTTCTCCCACAGTGACGGTGCTGAGGTATTTTTGTTTCTCCCACAGTGACGGTGCTGAGGTATTTTTGTTTCTCCCACAGTGACGGTGCTGAGGTATTTTTGTTTCTCCCACAGTGACGGTGCTGAGGTATTTTTGTTTCTCCCACAGTGATGGTGCTGGTTTTTTTTGTTTCTCCCACAGTGACGGTGCTGAGGTATTTTTGTTTCTCCCACAGTGACGGTGCTGAGGTATTTTAGTTTCTCCCACAGTGACGGTGCTGAGGTATTTTTGTTTCTCCCACAGTGATGATGCTGAGGTATTTTTGTTTCTCCCACAGTGACGGTGCTGAGGTATTTTTGTTTCTCCCACAGTGACGGTGCTGAGGTATTTTTGTTTCTCCCACAGTGATGATGCTGAGGTATTTTTGTTTCTCCCACAGTGACGGTGCTGAGGTATTTTTGTTTCTCCCACAGTGACGGTGCTGAGGTATTTTTGTTTCTCCCACAGTGATGATGCTGAGGTATTTTTGTTTCTCCCACAGTGATGGTGCTGGTTTTTTTTGTTTCTCCCACAGTGACGGTGCTGAGGTATTTTTGTTTCTCCCACAGTGACGGTGCTGAGGTATTTTTGTTTCTCCCACAGTGGTGGTGCTGAGGTATTTTTGTTTCTCCCACAGTGACGGTGCTGAGGTATTTTTGTTTCTCCCACAGTGACGGTGCTGAGGTATTTTTGTTTCTCCCACAGTGACGGTGCTGAGGTATTTTTGTTTCTCCCACAGTGATGATGCTGAGGTATTTTTGTTTCTCCCACAGTGACGGTGCTGAGGTATTTTTGTTTCTCCCACAGTGACGGTGCTGAGGTATTTTTGTTTCTCCCACAGTGATGATGCTGAGGTATTTTTGTTTCTCCCACAGTGACGGTGCTGAGGTATTTTTGTTTCTCCCACAGTGACGGTGCTGAGGTATTTTTGTTTCTCCCACAGTGATGATGCTGAGGTATTTTTGTTTCTCCCACAGTGACGGTGCTGAGGTATTTTTGTTTCTCCCACAGTGATGATGCTGAGGTATTTTTGTTTCTCCCACAGTGACGGTGCTGAGGTATTTTTGTTTCTCCCACAGTGACGGTGCTGAGGTATTTTTGTTTCTCCCACAGTGATGATGCTGAGGTATTTTTGTTTCTCCCACAGTGATGGTGCTGGTTTTTTTTGTTTCTCCCACAGTGACGGTGCTGAGGTATTTTTGTTTCTCCCACAGTGATGGTGCTGGTTTTTTTTGTTTCTCCCACAGTGACGGTGCTGAGGTATTTTTGTTTCTCCCACAGTGGTGGTGCTGAGGTATTTTTGTTTCTCCCACAGTGACGGTGCTGAGGTATTTTTGTTTCTCCCACAGTGACGGTGCTGAGGTATTTTTGTTTCTCCCACAGTGACGGTGCTGAGGTATTTTTGTTTCTCCCACAGTGATGGTGCTGAGGTATTTTTGTTTCTCCCACAGTGACGGTGCTGAGGTATTTTTGTGCCCCAAGAACGACGTCTCACGCTACCAGGTACCATGGCGAAGCGCCACCTACGGACTGAAGGAAATGCCCAAATGTTTCCCAGAACAGGCTGGAGCTCCAGACAACAGGAATGCCGTAGCAGACCAGCCCGCCGCTGTCCCCGCCGCCACCATCCCACACAGTGCAGCGTCGGCCGGCAACAACAACCAGCCGCCGTGTTACTCCCAGAGACAGCAGGGAAACAACATTTTCTTCCCCTACAGCAGGAAGCTCATCGCTGGGAGACTGGAGATGCAAGCAGAGACCGAGTCGCGCCAAAACGACTTCAGGAAAAACGTCACAGCGCCGAAAAATCCTTTCCCACCCCCTCAGTTCCAACCTACTTTCTCGCGCGACCCCCACCTGCCGATGACCCCAGCCCTCGGGCGCAGTGCCCAGCTTCAGGAGTACCTGGCCCAGCACTGCGGCAACAGCGACATAGGTCATCCCCAGCCGACCTATCCTAGGCCACCTAGAGGTGAACATCAACCAGCATCACCCATGGACATCGAACAACAAACCAAGCACACCAACAAGATATTTTCATCCAACAATTACAACAGTCCCATGTCTCATTTCCCCAACGACCATCGGTATCTCAAGAACGCGTTCAGAGCTTTTAAAAGAGATGAAGAAATCCTGAAAGATCGGAACCAATTTAATGACCCGAACAGGTTTCGTGACGAGGGTCATAAGGATTGGTATAACTATATGACCCAGGATAACCCGACTGCGGACCCTCGAACTGAGAGCGCTTTGGTCAACTCTGGGTGCACGCGAGTACCTGATGGGTTCGGGGGGTATTCATACATTTGCCCCAACCGGTGCGTCCCTCCAGCAGACACCAGCGTGCGTGCGATGGACCCCATCTGTTACACGTACCAACCATCCCGGGGAGGCGATCCCACCAGCCCACAGAAGGTAATTGACACAGAAATCAACGCCACAATTAAACACATCCAGAACGTCACCAGTACAAGGTAAGAGCTTACAGTGCACAGATTACACTTCATTGTTGCCCCGCTTACACTTTGTCATAGATTGTTGGCCTGCTTACACTTTGTCATAGACTGTAGCCCCCCTTACACTTTGTCATACACTAGCTCCGCTTAACTTTGTCATAGACTGTAGCCCCGCTTACACTTTGTCATAGACTAGCCCCGCTTACATTTTTTCATAGACTGTAGCCCCGCTTACACTTTGTCATAGATTGTAGCCCCGCTTACACTTTGTCATAGACTGTAGCCCCGCTTACACTTTGTCATAGACTGTAGCCCCGCTTATACTTTGTCATAGACTGTAGCCCCGCTTACACTTTGTCATAGACTGTAGCCCCGCTTACACTTTGTCATAGACTGTAGCCCCGCTTACACTTAGGCATAGAATGTAGCTAGTGTTTACTAGCGGCTGTCTGTTTTAGGTCCCGTTTTGCACACTTACATAACATAACATAGCAAGCTCCTTATGGACGATGTACATTAGTACAGATTTAAGACATGTGTCAGTAAGACAAATCTAGACAACTGTCTTAAATCAAGTGTTCTTTTTTTTTTTTGTCGTCATTCCCCTTAACTCCTTTCTTCAGCTGTCAGTCAATATTAGCGTCTTTTGATCTGGTACATTCATATTTTCTTTCAAATCTTTCTTTCCGTGTAAGTGAAAAAGTCATGTTATCAGACTTATCGGAAACATCTTTTAACAAACAGAAACATCTTCAGGCAAATAGAAACAGACTTTGGAATATCAGCCACATTTTCAGACTATGAGAAACATCTTTAGACAAACACAAACATCTTTAGACAAACAGACATCTTTAGACAAACACAAACATCTTTAGACAAACACAACATCTTTAGACAAACACAAACATCTTTAGACAGAAACCTATTCATGCAACCAGTAAAACACGCCTTACTATCAACGTGACAAAACCCGTGTCTATAACTTGTCCATTGTTCTCAACCATTGTTTGTCCGCCAGAGATTCTTTGTATGATCGACTCAAACATTTTTTGGTCCCCCAGAGATTCTTTGTATGATCGACTCAACCATTTTTTCTCCACCAGAGATTCTTTGTATGATCGACTCAAACATTGTTTCTCCACCAGAGATTCTTTGTATGATCGACTCAAACATTGTTTCTCCACCAGAGATTCTTTGTATGATCGACTCAAACATTGTTTCTCCACCAGAGATTCTTTGTATGATCGACTCAAACATTGTTTCTCCACCAGAGATTCTTTGTATGATCGACTCAAACATTGTTTCTCCACCAGAGATTCTTTGTATGATAGACTCAAACATTGTTTCTCCACCAGAGATTCTTTGTATGATCGACTCAAACATTTTTTCTCCACCAGAGATTCTTTGTATGATCGACTCAAACATTTTTTCTCCACCAGAGATTCTTTGTATGATCGACTCAAACATTGTTTCTCCACCAGAGATTCTTTGTATGATCGACTCAACCATTTTTTCTCCACCAGAGATTCTTTGTATGATCGACTCAAACATTTTTTCTCCACCAGAGATTCTTTGTATGATCGACTCAAACATTGTTTCTCCACCAGAGATTCTTTGTATGATCGACTCAAACATTTTTTCTCCACCAGAGATTCTTTGTATGATCGACTCAAACATTTTTTCTCCACCAGAGATTCTTTGTATGATCGACTCAAACATTGTTTCTCCACCAGAGATTCTTTGTATGATCGACTCAAACATTTTTTCTCCACCAGAGATTCTTTGTATGATCGACTCAAACATTGTTTCTCCACCAGAGATTCTTTGTATGATCGACTCAAACATTGTTTCTCCACCAGAGATTCTTTGTATGATCGACTCAAACATTGTTTCTCCACCAGAGATTCTTTGTATGATCGACTCAAACATTGTTTCTCCACCAGAGATTCTTTGTATGATCGACTCAAACATTGTTTCTCCACCAGAGATTCTTTGTATGATCGACTCCTGAAGTCTGAGCAGCCTCTACACGAGGTCAAGGAACAGTTGTACAGTCTGCCGATAGATCAGAGATGTCAAGCCAAAGATTTGATTAGAAAGGTACAACCTATTGTGTTTAGTTAGTCGGCGTCATTACAGGCCATGATGCTTGATTTTGGAGTTGAGTACCATAATATTCTAAATAGCTAAACCTTAATAGCACCATCATCATCACCATACCTTAATCCTACTTGGGGTGAATGCGACACCACAGTTGACTATAATTTTCTGCCATCCATCTCGGTACTCTGCCACACTGATAAGTTCTGAGACGAGCAGTCCCGTCCCATCCTTGATGTCATCCATCCAGTGGCGCCTTTAATTTGCCTACCCCACTTCTCCATCCTGACATATATACATACACTCGCACGCACGCACACATACACACACACACATATATTTATACATACATACACTGACACACGCACACACACACACACACACACACACACACATACATACATACATACATATATATATATATATATATATATATATATATATATATATATATATACATACAAACATATATATACATGTACATATATATATATATATATATATATACATATATATATATACATGTACATATATATATATATATATATATATATATATATATATATATATATATATATATATATATATATATATATATATATATATATATATGTGTATGTATTTAAAACCGGTGAATTCCTCAGATGAGCGATATAGAGAGGGATCAGGGAGAGACGGTGAAGGAGATCCGCAACAAAGGCATCGAGCTCACCCATCTGCTGAAACATCAACACGATCTTGAGGTACGACTGGCCAACCAAGTTCTAGAGGACGCCAGACAGACGAGTCTGAATGTCACCAACAACAACAGCAGCTACATTAAACATACAATCAACCGCTACAAGAAAACATACATGAAACATTTCTAAAAGTAGAAACACAAAAACACAAATAAATATCAGAGATTATAACCACGTGACAAGTGTTACTATATTTACTTTTGGAGTTTTCGTCGCTTGACTTGATGTGTGTGGAAATTATTGTGTTATCGTTTGGTGGACAAGAATTGTGTTCATTGGTTACGTTGGGTCAGGGTGCATATTTGGGTGGAAGATAGGCTAATTACGATAGTAACGGTCAAATACTTTATTTAAATCAGTTTTCCTTGCTGGTTGCCTATGACGTATTAGGGTTGCAGTGTTAGATAAATAAAGAAACAAATTCTACAAGTTAATGTCCAATATTTGTGATTATGTAAAATAATATTTAGGTTGATTGAAAGTTGATTCACAATATCAACATGTTAGGACTCAACTCTGTAAGGGAGGGTAGGACTCCGTGGTGGGACTAAACAAAAATAACTCTAGTCAGTAGCCCATCCGAAAAATGGCTTTCACCAATAGGACTCCTGACAAAATACCCCCTCCCCAAGTAAATCTCATCAAAGCTATTTAAATATTTAAAGGAGAGCAATAATTATAAGTCGTGGAAATCATTAAGTGCTCCCTAAAGCGTGGCCTAGTAGAATTAACATAACCATGAATACAGACATTTTTAATGGCCAATGCTCGAAAATTATTGTTAATTTTTATATTTTTAGGCGGATTTTGGACCCTTCAAATATTGAAATATGTAGGCTATATGCAGACTTATGGAACGAGGGAGCGTCTCAACACGTCGAAATATTGTCGTATCGGCCGTCGGAAGAGTGCATGCCACAAAAAAAAAAAAAAAAAAAAAAAAAAAATAAATTGCGAAATATTTTTTATAACAGGTATCGATGCAAAAGCGTCATATAGATTCAAGATGGCGACATTAAACAAGTCGGAGTATGTTCTAGATGAGCTAGTGTGTTTTCTGAGCAACCCTTTGTTTCAAATTCCAGTTCTTTCGTTTATGGAAACCAAGTGTTTGAGTAATTAATACCAGATCTACATAATTATAGAAATTATACACAATACGTTAAACATACAATTCATTTTGTCAGGCACAGACTCAGACTGTCACCGGCCCAACGCAAATTATTAGTCTAGCAATTATGAATTTTCATAATGTGGCGTGTTTGTTATTTTTATAGTTATTCATTTTTATTTTAAAATATTAAATAAATAGTAAATAGATCTAGATCTTTTAAGACTGTACATATGAAGACTTCAACTATTATTACTTAAGCCTGTGATAGGCTAGTTAGTAGCAGTTAGTAGGCCAAGAAACTAAAAATATTGATAATCAATGTGAGCTATCTCCATCTAGGGCATTCTAGGGCCTAGGGTTAGGCCCAATAGCCTATTGAATATAGTAGTATTGATTGTCTTATATGGTTAAGTCGTATTTATAATACATAAAAATTATTTAATTACAATTCCTTACTTAATTGTAGGTCTTATTTACACTAATTTTTATTTTATTTTGTAACGTTTTTTTTTTTACAGTATTCAACCCTAGTATTGAAGACACACCAAGTTACCATGACATTCAAGAAGAATATAGTAAATTGGTGCGTAATTTGTAATGATTATTTTCTGTATTTCAGTTTTTACAGAACCCTCTCCGCATTATGAGGCTATGAAATAAACTTTTTACTGAAAATTAATGTCATATTTCATTTGCAAATAGTCAATACAGAACAATTTTTGCTGTTTCATTACTTTAGATAGTACATCATAACACAACATATCATAAAAAACATAACATATCATACTCATAAAAGAGTAGCTCTTAGTTGTGTCTTTGTTGTGCCATGCAACATTAAATATCAACAACAACAATGACCAATCTATGTTTCCTTTCTATATGTTTTAGTAATTGTTTTAATAGGTTGTTTTCACAATTTTAAAAATATAAGGTATAGTTGATCATGATGCATTGCAGTTGCATTTTAATTATTTAATGACAGGTTTAACATTCATATAAACATATGCAAGTCTATAAACATTACCAGTTCAGATTCAGGCCCTCCCCCCCCCCCTCATTTTATATAACTGCTTACTAACACAGAAGGGATCATTTTTACTTTCTCGTATATACGAAGTATAGAGAAAGTTTTGTAATCGTGCAAAAAAAAAAAATCGAGATTTTTACAAATCTCGACGTTTTACACCTCACTGATACGGAAAAACATAATTTTGCAATCTTGTCCGTATGTCTGTCTGTGTGTCTGTCTGTCTGTCCGTGTGTAAACATGATAACTTGAGTACCGTTACAGCTAGGTTGATGAAATTTCATATATAAGTATTTTATCAAAATCATAGATCCGTATCAACTTTTGAGCGATTTCCGATAACCGGAAGTGGTACTTTTTCTACTTTGAATTTTTCAAAAGCCTATAACTTGAGTACTATTTCAGATAGATAAATGAAATTTCACATGTAAGTAAAAGATCTAATTCTCTACCTTCTGTTAAATTTTGAGTAATTTCCGTTGACTGGAAGTAGTACTTTACACTACTTCCGATTTCTCAAAAAACTAATGTAAATTTTAAAAGTACTAATAATATTGCGCACTATTATGCGCTTTTTTATTTGGCGTTCACTTGGTGTGCAATTAATTTGTCTACGAGATTTTATTCTATTTTTAAAACTTTAAGTATTTAAAATGGATTAAAAAGCATGTCTATAGCCCGAGTTCCCATCCCCTGTTATATAAGAATATTCGAGAAAGTTTAGGGGAGATCACTCCCGGTTTATTTAACTGTGTAATGTAACTTTATATAATGTGTACCATATCAAATTGCTGTCTTAATCAGGTAGATTTACTGCTGGAAGGGTTTAGAACAGACACAGGATTATCCCATGAGCAGATCATTGAAGCCATGAAAACCATCATTTCAAAACCTGAGTTGAGGGATGTATTTCAGGTAAACTTACTATTTCAGGTCAACTTACTATTTCGGGTAAACTTACTATTTCAGGTAAACTTACTATTTCAGGTAAACTTACTCGGTTTAATTCTAAGATATTAAATTTTTTGCAATTCAGCAGATTCTTTAAATAATGAATAAAAATTCAATACATATTTCACCATCAAAAGACAAGGATACTATGTTAATCTTATTTGTTTGTGGGTTTGAATTTACAACAAAGAAGCTTTGAAGCTTATGCTAAAATCTCAACCATATGCCCTATTCTAACATTTTTGGTTTGAGAGTTCAGTTCTAACATAAGACATTGATCAAAGAAAAAGCAAAGAAAAATTAAGTTCTGATTTGTTTTAGTTTTGTAATTAAAAATCTATTACTATTTTTTTTAAATTTAACTCTTGTATAAACATGAGCTACATCTCTTTCTTTTTTGTGAGCAGGTGTTGTACGATCAAGTGGCCGCTACATTGGACTACCAGCTGTTTGTGCGCATCATGACACAAAAAAACATGGACCTGCAGCAGCAAGCTCTGCTGCTTATCTCGCAGATGCTGGGTGGGAACCTGCCTGAAAGTCTGATGAAGGACAGCGCTGCTAGTATAGGTGTGTCTTGGGGCAGTGGTCAGCCTAACTCTTCAGATGAGGACCAGATTCTGTTGGCAGCTTTGGCGTAAGTCACTTAAACCTGTACTAGCTTAGGGGTCGCCCATAAATGACGTCACACTCATGGGGGGGGGGGTCCGTAATTTTGTGTGATGTGGGGGAGGGGGCTCAGATGGTGTGCCGTCACACTTTTGCATTATATAAAAGCAATATTAGAAAACGAGTTTTAGCTGTTATTTCATGATTATCTCAGTTATAGTAAAATGCCCATTCAAGGACTGCTTTTCCATACATGTTTGTGTTTATTATATTTAAATACTCTAAATAAACCTATCAGTGCCAATAACCTTTAAATTCTGCATTAATGTTTTTAGAACGTCTAAAGAAGAATACGAGAGAGAGCGTGAACAGACTGAGGAGGAACAGGATGAGCTGAAGTTGATCATTGAACTATCACAAGCCACCAACATCATGCTACACCATCCTGTCAAGAAGGAAGAAGAACAACTACATGATGTAACCACCAATTCTCACATTCAGTGGCTAACTCTGGATCATTCCATTTAAGTTTTATTTATCATATAGAATTTTTAACTGCTTATAATACTTATATGTTATGCTTTAAATGGTGCTGGTTAAAAATGTAAAAAAATGCCCATTTTAATTTCTATCCCCAGTCATTTCAGAAATCTTTGTCTTTGAAGGATGGATCTGGTGAAAGTCCCAAACCATCTGTACCAAAACCAACCTCAGTTCCTCCCCCTGCCGTATATACATCAAAAAAACAGTCAGCTGTAAGCAGGCATTTGGGTTCTAAATTTACTATAAATATAATCTTTATTTTATAACAATTGTAGCAAATTTTTAAAAAATACATTACATTTTAGCACTACTATTTTAAGCTGACTTTTGTTGGTGAAATATTTCAGCCCATCACAGACACAAAGCCAAAGCCAGCAGCGAGCTCTGTAACAGACACAAAGCCAACAGCAAGCCCCATCTCTAGCGCTGATGCTGCTGCTGCGTGGATGAAGTCGGCTGAGACTGAAGTGAATTCTTCTGACGCTCATTTAAAGGCTGTACAGGCAGCTGCTGTAAGTCTTGTAAAGTTTCTGTCACCTTATTACAAAAACCACTTTAATTTAAGTAACTGTTTCATGATTTAGTAAATTAATTGTTCCTTTAATTAAAATATTTACATACAGGTCTCCTTAAGAAATAGTCTAAATAAAACTGTTTGTCTTTGATGATATTGGCCCAAATTTTTTTTAAAGTTTTGTTGAAATAACCAGTTCAAATGAATTTTTAAAAGTAGGTTTAACCTTTTACAGTCTTATACATTCAAATTCACCTTACATTGTTTACTTGATGTATAATTGTTTTATGTTTTTAACATACTGGTATGTTGATATTTTATATTTTAGAAAAAAATGTCATTGTAACTCATTGCAATGTCTTTTCACCTAGTCAAAAATATGGAAAATAAAAACAAAATCGATTTTATGCGCGGACTGTAAAGATTTGATTAAACCATCAATCAACTAACTTGACTTAACAAATGTATGAATGTTGTGCATTATCCCCTGGCTATTTTACCCTCAGGCCAGCATTGCTGGAGTGTCAGAGGAAGAGTTTAAAAAGAGATCAGAGTTCTTACGCCAGCAGCGGGATAAGCTCATGGAGATGAAGAGGAAAGAGCGAGTGAAAAAACTTTTATCTGCGGAGCAGTCCCAGCCACAACGACCAGCTTCAGCACGGGCTGCCAGAGCTGCCTTAAGACAAGCTCAGGAACCCACCAAACCCACAGCTGAGGAGGAAGCTAAACTAGCTCTTCGTAATACTATTGCAAGAAACCTGAAGGCTGAATTACTCAACAAAAAGTAATTTTTTACTTGACAAAGTCAGAGATTATTCAGTTCGGTTATTTTCTCAGTCTTTGAATACTTAGCATTTATGTTTCTATTTTTTAAGCTGTTACTTCTTTCACAGTTGTTTACTATGTTCAAATACAACAGGGGAGATAACAAGATTAATTACTAGCAATTTTACACAGCTGTATTCACTGATCTTTTCATGCCTTAGAACTGACCAATAACTCTGCTAAAGGACAGATAATGAAAACCATAAGTTTTAGGATAGGGCCTATGCTAGAGTTATTGCTTAAGTTTCCAAGCTAGTAAGTTATACATTCAGACCTACAAATGAATAAGATAACTATTCTGTCCTTGTCATTTGACATAGAAATATGTATTGATAGGGAAAACTCCAGTGAACTCATGTAAATATTTTTGAAGATAGTGTGTGGTGCTACTAAAATCAGGTGTGGCTAGAAAACTGGATTTGATATAGTTGTATTTTCAGTAACTAAATGAAATTTGAAAACAGCTAAAAACAATTAGGTTTCTTTCTTGTTTCCAAATAGCTTAAAATAGATCAGGCTCACTTGCGGGCTCTAAAGTGAACTTTTTACTTAACAACTAAATAATTTTCATCTATGTCTGCATTAGTTAAAGGGCTTCAGTGGGTTTCTTAGCAAGAATAGCTTCAGCAATTGTCATTTAGAGTGGCTGATCAGGTTTCAGTTTCCCTAAAATAAAAATGGATTGTGTTTTAGAACTTAAATATCTCTTTACTTTTGCATTTTTACTGTCTCTTAATACTAAAAAAACCTTTATAATAATAAGCTTTTAAAAGCACTGAATGAAACAAACATCCTCTCTTTGTCAAAATCAGTGGTCGCTAAAATATGTAAAAAAAGAGAAAGGTTTTTTTCCCCAATTTTCAGTGCATCTAAAAACCTATTATTACAAAGTTTTTTATACTTTTGGTTAGTGTCATCTGGCTGGTAAGGCTTATATTTTAAATGTGCAGATTTCTTAATATGCTACTACCAATGCAGTATTGGCTAATGGTTTTTTAACACACATTAGTTTCCTAAGGTGTTACTGTTTGTGTCACCACTATGGTATTTTAGTTTCCAATGGTTTTACTGTGTCACCACTATGGTACATTAGTTTCCTAAGGTGTCTGTGTCACCACTAATGATAGAACAGTACTTTGATGTAGTATAACTGTCACCATTAACTAGGGCACATCAGCTTGGTGTAGTGTTGAGACCTGCCAAGTTCACTAATCCACAACCATTTCACATTTGTATCACAAACTAAAATTTCATTACTTTAAGTAAGTTGATTTAAAAAAAAAACTTAAAATTTGCTACATTTCACAAGTACTTATAAAGTTGTCACTGTGTTGTTAATCATAAACTACTTTTATCTATCATTCTCTTGTATTCATGTTAGTTTATTTTTAACGTCTGAATATAACACAAAAGATTCCCATGCTGTGCCACAGTAATTGGCTAGTTTCTCCAAACAGTTGTAACCCATCTTTTTTTTTATTAAAATTATGTTAAGTTGTAACCCATCTTTTTTGTATTAAAAGCATGTTATTTTTTAATCTAAATGTACTTTTTTAAATTTAAAAATAATAATCTTATAAATTATTTATTTTTAAGTTACCAAACTTTGTAGTTATATTGGTGTCAATGTTATTGTTTTACACCTCAAGTCCACCCTCTTGTGATTTTACACAATGCCACATTCCTCGACTATTTATTACAACGCTTACCTGTTGTCAAATTTTTATATATTTATATATCTATTCATTGTTGTATAGTTAAATAATTAAAACTTGCAATTTAATGTTTTAAATTTTATTTTCCTGTAGTAACACAAGTATTTTAATAGTGCTTACCTGGTAAAAACAAGTTTTTCTAAATTTTGGTAACTTGTACACAGCCAGTTTTTATTTTTGCAATACTGATTTACTCAATGTTCATTTTTTTTATTACTGTGAATAATTTTTACACATCTTTTAAAAAAAAACAACAGAATATTGATTAACATCTATAATATAATCGGGCTGAGCGTGTCCTTCCGTCCGTCATCGCTATAGATTTTGGGACTATAAAAGTAAGCTACGCACCATGCTGTGCTTTTCAGTGCACCGCAGTGTCTTATTATAAGTAATTGAGTAGGGTTTGTTTATATAACGGCATAGAGCTATTTTATAATTCCACTGTTTGTACAATTTTGCATAACGTAAAGAGAATATTAAATACACGCACATTGCTAAAACATATTAAAAGGATCAATGTCAAATATTGTTTTCGTTAATATTCCCAGAAAGAGTGGATACATATTAATAACATAATAACAGTACGGTAGAAAAATCTAATTAAACTGCTTAGTAATTTTGCCAATGGAGGTAATTCAAAGATAAATTGAACTCACGCTAAAAATGTGAATGCAAAATCTGCAAGACGGAATAATTGTTGGAATAATATAATTAGCAAAATGTGAATGCAAATTATGCAGACGTGTAAGAGTACATTATTGTTGGAATATTATTATTAGCATTAATTGATAAAAGGCTATATTTTATTTATTTTATTCACTGAATGTACTGTTTATTAATTATAATTTTTAATCAACTATTCTCCATTACTATATTAAGTCATCACGTTCATTAGGTGCGCAATGGTTTTAGTCATGAAACTTTATTGTAAATTTTTAAAAGTACTGAAAAAAATGCATGAATTTATAAAGTGCAATATGGTCGGTAAAACACGGATATTCTAAATACTGCCTTTAATTTATTTGCGGAAAAGCTAGGGGTTTTATAACAGAGGCGTAGCAAGAGGGGGGGGGGGGAGGGTGGAAATCGAAAGTTTGAGGGAGGTGGGAGGGTGTAAATCGAAATTTTTCGCCGGCGCTCGGAAACGGCGCGATTTGGCGCTACGGGATAGACTGTGAGCAATATGCCTTTATGATTACATTTAAATTGAGTTTATGTTGAGTGTTGTGTTTGTTTTTTCGTTTTTGTTTTTTCTTTGCGTTCGTTTGTGTTGTATTTAGTTTTGTTCTGTTCCCAACTTGGTACATTTAAAAAAGATTTACCGTGTGTTGTGGTTGTGGTTGTGTTGTGGTTGTGTTGTGGTTGTTTTGTGGTTGTGTTGTGGTTGTGGTTGTGTTGTGGTTGTGTTGTGTTGTGGTTGTAATGTGGTTGTGGTTATGTTTTGTTTGTGTTTGTGTTTGTGTTGTGTTTTTGTTTGTTTTGTTCTGTTCCAAAGTTGGTACATTTTAAAAAGATTTACCGTGGCGGAGCACGGGATGCAGCTAGTTTGATTATATTACTATGCAGCAGAAATTTTCATCTGAATTTTGTCTTCCGTCCAAAGTTGCTAATTTATTACTTGGTCCAGGCTTTCATTCTTTCTATAACATTTAAAATCTACAATTACAACTATATTTTTAAAACGAACTTATTTATCACTTATGACAACTGTGGACAAATAATAATCAAGCTCATGTGATTTAAACTGAAAAACCAACTAAAATCCTACAATATATTTTCACAAAAGCTTAAAAAAAAATCCACGAAGAATCTGTATATTAAATTTACAACCTTTTAATAGTTCAAAAAATGATTTGATGCCAATATATGCCCTAATTAATTAAAGCATAGCTGTACTGACCTTACGTGGACTTTGTTTTTATATGAGCTATTATAATGTAGTCAAATTTATAAATAAAGCTTCTGTGTATTTTCATAAAGTTTAACTAGCTTAATAGATCTTTGAATGCTAATATTGAGCTAACATTTTACACTATAATCATGTGGAGCCCAAGGGTAGTGAACTCGCTCAACTGTAACTGGTAGAAAGCGGAAGCATATAAAGATGACTAGTTGACAGCATAAAAATAGACATTTTATTTTACATCTTTATGTACATGTTTGTTTTAGAGAAAATAAAACATTTCTTACAAACTGAATCAGTATATCTGTACAAATGTGGTGTGTACATGATGCAATTGAACACAATTCCAGATCTATCTGCAGCCCTTCAATGTTTGCTGCCTGGATAGGCCAAATTCCATTTATAAGTCACATAAGCAAAACATACTGAGAGTAACTAAACAAAGTAATGCTGTTATTTTCTTCGCTGTTTCTTTCCCCCTGAGCCCTCTTTTACACTTTGCTGGGATGTGGATGGTTCTGTATTTGCAGAGATTTCTGGAGAAAATAAAGTATTATGTTAAGGTGTCATTTTATAACATTTAACAAGCGTTTTGTTAAAGAATCCCTCTAGTGATCTATGACTTACCTCTCTTTTGAGCCGCTTGCCATAAAGCACTTTTCACAAATCTTTTGCTAACATCTTTATTAAGTTTTGGAGCTTTCTTTTTGTCCTCAATTTCCTTTACCCTCTGCATGTAGCTCTGAATTCTTGTCTGCAACCAAATGTTATATCATCATTATAAGGAAATCTAATGATAATACATGCCGTGCGCACATAGATTTCTAATGTTTAATTTTAAATGAAAATGGTTTAAAATGTGATTTTTTTTTAAAAAGTATAGTAAATAACCTCACAACAGACCTATGATTTAAAATACTAGTGCGGGATATTATTAGTACTTTATAAATCCACATGCGCTTTTTTGAGAAATCGGAAATAGCGTAAATTCCGTACTACCGGTTGACGGAAATTACTCAAAATTTTATAGAAGGCAGAAAATTAGGACGTTTACATACATGTGAAATTTCATTTATCTATCTGAAATAGTACTCAAGTTATAGGCTTTTGAAAAATTTCAAAGTAGAAGAAGTTCCACTTCCGGTTAGCAGAAATCGCTCAAAAGTTGATACGGATCTACGATTTTGATATAATACTTATATATGAAATTTCATTAACCTAGCTGTAATGGTACTCAAGTTATTGTGTTTACACACACACACATACACACAGACACACATGCACACAGACATACGGACAAGATTGCAAAACTATGTTTTTCCGACTCAGGGAGCCCTAAAACGTCGAGATTTGCAAAAAGCTCAATTTTTTTTTACACGATTACAAGACTTTCTCTATACTTCGTATATACGAGAAAGTAAAAATGAAAACCTTACGGCCTACAGCTTTTATCAAACTTCTAAAAATGCTTAACATGTTACCTTGTCAACAGCAAATAGTAGGCCTTAATGTTTAAATTTTTATCAATTTTTTGAATATTTTAAGGCATATAACGTGTAGGATCATCACTAAAAGTTACAGATGGCTTCAAATTAATGTGTTTTGAGGTTAGTTTGAGGTACCTACTAAATCAAAATTTTGGATGGTGCAATCTATACCATAAAAACATGTACTCCTTTATAACATAAGTTTGACAAACTGAGACAAGATAATTACCAATTCTTGCTTCACTGCATGTTCTTTTGGGTTGAGGCCACAAACATTCATGTACACTAAAAATAAATCACAAATTGGCATTTATTAAGCAGAAAACAAAGGTTCATTAAAACTTTAAAATAAGAACATAAAATATCAATATTTAATTATGAGAATAGTTCTAGATTTGTGTCCAACTATAGGTCCTAATTATATAAAATAGGCTATTTTGGTCAACACAGATTTTGAAATACAACACCCTAGTAGGAGTAACTTATTTTTAAAAAATGAATGAAAAGTTTACTTACTCCAGAACAAGGAGTTGATGGCATATGCAGCAACTAAATCTACTTTAGCAGCATCAATGGGCTCCAACTGAAAGAAATCAAAGAAAATTGCCATTAGTTGTTAAATCTAATACTGCTTATAGCCGAGTAGCGTATTAAGTCGGGGGAGTGGCCGCTTATGCTGCCTAACATTTGCAGGACAGTGGCACCTTTTTTCAGAAAATGAAAATTAATAAAAACAAACAAGAACAGTCAGTGATAAATAACAAAAGTAACAAAAGTCATATATTATATATTTTTATGGCAGCACAAGCAAAATTGACAAATACTGGATTTTATCCATGTCAACTAGATCTATAAAGTATAAAGGATGACCGATGTACATTACTTAATAAAAAAAATAAGATAAGACACCTCATGTCAAAAAAAATAATTCTTTGTGTCTGGGTAAAATGCGAAACTGTGAAGCGATAAAAAACATGACATAGGCCTACCTGCAGAATTAAACAAAACACACAAAACGTTAGGAAAAACACTAGCTAGACTCTCCCTAGACTGGGCCTAGACATAGGCCTATAGTATTTAGGCCTAATTATTTATTAATATTAAATTATTAGGCCTGCCTAGTTAGTAGAATCTAGTAGTAGATCTATATCTAGTAGAGGTAAAATCACGATATAGCGTCGGTTATTATTCCGGAACTGTACAGCAGTAAAAAACAGTAAAACCATGGCGTAGTCTGACGAGCCGTTCCGGAAACCACCGGAAATACTGTAAACCATCATTTATTTGCCGCCATATTATATTTAGTAGGCCTACATAATGTTTAAAAATGTGCAAGGATTGATTTTAGTTGCATTTTAAATACTGTTTTGCTAATTATTTTGTATTTCTAATTATTTTAAGTGTATGTCACGTGCTAATTATTGCTCCTACTAAACATTATTCTAGTTATTTTTACTACTTTTAACTTTAGTTAATCTAGGCTAATCGTCTTATTTATTAACAGAACTAGAGCTGGTTGTCGCAAATCTTCTGCAGGTTTTTTTCTGTTTCTTAAAATAAACATTAATTACTACACTCGACTTTATTAATAATATTTAGATTTACTAATTGTTGCTAATTTTTTGTCAATTAAACATTAAATTAAGTTAAAACATTAATTTAATGCACTTGACTTTATTTTTCTTTCACCGGTCAAATAAAGTATGATTTACAGTAACGAATGTTACCAAAACTCAACGAACATTACCCAATAATTTCCGACGCTATATTATATCGTGATTTTACCATAGTAGATAACTAGACTTTTAGTTGTTTTTTTTTTACTTCTAATTTAAAATTAGTAGGCCTAGGCCCTAATAACTAATTTGATGAATTGTAGTGTAGTTAAGTGTAGGCCTAGACTTAGACTTAGTACTTACTTAGTAGTATTAGTATCTTTTAAATTAAAAAGTTTGGTAATCTATCGTTTTGGGTACGTAAAATCACCCGCGGCTATTAATGTACGAAAACGTTACCTCATTGTCAAGGCTGTAATAGAAGTATATTGTGATACGAGAAAAATGGCCCGTTGAGGAAGGATACACCGGGCGCTAGGTTGATAGTGCTGTCTCTTTTCTCTAAACTAAAACCAACCCATCCCCCACACACACCTACCCCCAACCCCACCCCCAACCCCACCCCCACCCCCCAAAAAAAAACATGTCTACCGTCCCATTCAACGAAATATAATTATATACTTTTTCCTCCCCGAAAATTCTACCCCCGCCCCCGAAAATTTCAAGTACCCCCCACCCCTCTCCGGGGAGGAGGAAAAAGTCTGAAAGAAACACTGGTGTTGCGCTTAGCCACTACGCGAAGAATTGCATTAAAGAAATTGCGAGAAAACCACTTTTTAGATTAGACACATTAATTAGGCGTTTATTTTATTATAGAGTATCGGTGAGGAAACCACCCCACCCCACCCCCCCCACACACACCACCCCCACTCCCAAAAAAAACATGTCTACCGTCCGATTCAACGAAATATAATTATATACTTTTTCCAGTGTCCGCCCCCTCCCCGAAAATTCTACCCCCAACCCACCCCTAACACCCCACCCCCACCCACCCACCCCCACCCCCCAAAAAAAACATGTCTACCGTCCCATTCAACAAAATATAATTATATACTTTTTCCTCCCCGAAAATTCTACCCCCGCCCCCGAAAATTTCAATTACCCCCACCCCTCTCCGGGGAGGAAAAAGTCTGAAAGAAACACTGGTGTCGCGCTTAGCCACTACCCGAAGAATTGCATTAAAGAAATTGCGAGAAAACCACTTTTTAGATTAGACACATTAATTAGGCGTTTATTTTATTATAGAGTATCGATGAAGAAATTTATTTTGAGTTGGGGAGGGGGGGGGGGCTCAGACGTTCTTACGCGGGGGGTGGGGCTTCGAACTACCCGAAGAATTATATGCAAGAAACTCTTCACGCAAACCATTTAGATTAGACAAAATTTCCTTTTTTTCAATGTTTACGTGAGAATCAATGACGTCATATTACTGTGTGCACTCTCTGGTTTGAGATTATGTTCTACTCTATGCTAAATGTGTCGACGTCATATTTCGTTTTTCGAATTACTGTGCATGTTTTTATTTTGCTTGTCTTTTCTCTAGAGCGTTCTTGTCAGACAGAGTGTTCTTGTCAGACAGAGCGTTCTTGTCAGATAGACAGACAGCGAAACTATTAGTATTAATGTTTGTGTCAAATATTATAGATAAATGAATAATAAACCTAAATCAATGGCTAAATATATCAATTTGGGCCAGAAATTAACTTTAAACAGCAGTGTCTGCAATCAAGATTTGCTTTGTATATAGGCCTAAACAGCAGCCATTTGTAAAATAGAGTGACTTCCGCCTGAATCTCGCGCTATAAGTCTATAAAAATAAAACTTTAACAAAATGGCTGCTATAGTAAATGAGCATGGTTGCATCTGTTGGAAACGTCGCTGGTGTTCATTTATTTAAATTTATTATTATTACTGAAAAGTTTTAATACAATTGTTTAAAAACGGGTACATAAATGAAACAAGGAAACATTTTTGTATTTTTCAAAACATAAATCCTTCTCAAAAGGTGAAATAATTATTAAAATGTAAGGAGTCACCTATTTTCCACATTACTAGTCGCGGGCGATTTTACGTATTCGTAGGCCTACCCAAAACGATAGATTTAAAAATAGATTACCAAAAGTTTTAATTTTTACCTTATCTGTAAGCTCGTTGCGATTAATAGAAAGGAGGGGCTTTAACTCAGCCTCTAACTCTGATAAATGTGTATCAAATGAAGCTAAATTTTCTTTAATTTCACTAGGTATTCCGTGTTCGTCAGGTCTTGCGGATGACATTTTAATGTTTTCTATGGCCTACCACTACTAGATGTTAGCTTTGAATGAGCTTTGCAATGCCCGACAACCAACATTACTTTAAAAAACACTTCTTAAATTTATAATGTTACGTAATCGGGTCTGAGTAAATTAATTTAATGATGAAAACAAATTAAACAACATCATTAATGTAATATAACTTAGTAAAAATTCAGTTAGCCTAATTAATTAATTATTTCAGGGATCTGCTTTAAAAAAATAAGATAACAATATAAAATATAAAATGAATACTTCCATAAAATAGTAGTATTACTATTATTAGACAGAGCCTGTAATTTATTACCGAAAAACGACAATCCACAATTTTACCTAAGCTGCCTTTAAAAGAAATGGGTGTATTATTATCCAAAATCCCAATAATCATCTTCAAATTGGTGATCCCCCTATCATGTAGCAGCAGGTTCGGTAGCTAATAGTAGTTCTATACTTATTACATTAAGCTTTAGGGCGCAATAGGCCTAATTATATGTATGGCTAAAGCACTTTGGCGTAACAACCATGCAACCAATGTGGACCACAGGCCCACAAACTTTTTTTATTAAAGAAATCAAAAAGGCATATCTTGAGACTAGATGTTTTTAAAATTTCGTTTTCTTTGTTATTTTTAAGAAGCAAAAAGTACTAGGATTTATACTTACAATTCTTACTCAATTCCATCGATTTCGCGTTCATATTGGGTAACAGTATTTCGATTCTTTTTCTACTTTCGCAAGTTTAAACGCGGTGTACACCGCGTTTAAACTTGCAACATGTATACTATACACGTCTAGAAAAAAAACTTTGCCACACGTTAATTTTATCAGAACATATATAGAGGGACCTACTCGTCACTTATAGCGAAGTAATTTTTCTAGACATCTATAATAATACAGGTACATGTTGCAGGTGTAAACGTTCAACAAAGTTTAGGGGAGGTCATGAACCCGAAAAGACCTTGCAACTTATTAATTTTATAAATATTTATATACAAATAAAATTGTTAGCAATAACTCCCCCCCCCCCCCCCATTTAAACATAGTGTTTAATATTTTCCGTATGTTATATATATATATATATATATATATATATATATATATATATATATATATATATATATATATATATATATATATATATATATATCTATATGCAAAAATATATACATAATATATAGGTACATGTATCTAAAGGCCGTATACAAATAGGCTTTTCAATTTACAGTAATAACTTAAGTCTTGTAAAGTGTGAACAAACCGAATGTATACCTACATATTCTTCACTTAAATGTAGGCCGTAGGGAAAACAAAAGTAATCATTGTGGTTTATCTAAAAGAATCAATAAAACTAAACAGCAGCGTCAATTCATCTCTAACATGTGACATAAAATACATAACCTTGACAGACTCGAGGAAGTGACGTTCTCGTGGTTGATCAGATTACGTGTTAAGTGGGTATTCAGTGATGTGTCGTGTTTCTTTTAGGTAAAGGGGAGTTGGCTCACAATGGTTTGAGTAGGCTATAGGCTATACTTTCTATTTAACTTAATTGTTTACTTTTTCGTTCGGGAAGGAGGGGGGGGGGGGGCTGTTCATAGTGGGAGAGGGCAATTACAGCTTCCTAAAAGCAACAATGTGATATGGAAGGGGGGGGGGGAGGCGCCAATTTAACCAGAGGCGTAGCGACCCCTCCCGGCGCCCGGGGCGAACTTTCAGTTTGGCGCCCCCCATATATATATATATATATATATATATATATATATATATATATATATATATATATATATATATATATATATATGTATATATATATATATATATATATGCGTGTGTGTTTGTGTGTGCGACAGTCAAGAAAAAAATTAACAATTACACTTCACTGGACGCCAAATAAATTCCCCTTAAGATGCCGAAACGAATAAAAAGTAGAAAATCAAAAGAGCTTAGAACATTGGGCTCCATTGAACCCGAGAGGTTCGGTAATTCAGTCTCAGGGCTTCCGCGGAGGTCAAGACACACACCCGACTCATAGGATTTACGATCGGATTTTTGTCATTGTGGACGATACAACTATTAAGGAGGGTTCGGTGATTGCGGATATGAAACTGGTGGGGTTCGGTACTCCAAAAATTTAAGAACCACTGCTTTAGGGTGTATTTTGTAGAAGGTGCAAGCCTTATTTGGTCTACTTTTGCTCGTGTCTTTAGAACAATTTTGATAACAGTAGGCCAATATTGCAATTTTGAATTATCAGTTAGGTTGAATAAAGTAATAATCAGTACAATATACTAATTTTCTTCTCTCTTAAAATTTTGGCAAAGAGTGTCGCTTCCCATCCACCCGCTCCGACAGTCTGCTATTTTACTGATCAGATAGCGATACAAGAATCCGTTATATTTATTTCTCTTTAATGCAGTTATCCAGGCAAGATGTAATGCAATCAAGTAAAAGTATCAGATCTATCACGATCAAGTTGAGTGAATCGTAAGAATCGTACAAAGAACTAGTCACGTTATTACTTAGCAAAACTGGGTAGTGAAATCGTACATTAAGTGTTAATACAATTGATTTCTTTTCTAAGTGTTGAAAGCGTTATCTAGCAACCGATCAAGTACAAAGCCTGCGATTTTTGTTTGTGAAAAAGCGCCCCACCATCTTGGACAAAAATGATAGAGCGGATTTTAAACGTCACTAACTCTTTTTTATGTTACACAATCGTAAAATACGCCTTAGTTCAATGGGTTTCTTTTCTAAGTGATATCGGTTATTTATTCCTTAATCCGGTGTGAATTTTTTCGATTTTAATCTTCGAAAAAGGCTCCTTCCCTCCCCATCTAGGAAAGCTGGAAAGCGGTTTTTCTGGTCACTGTTTCTTAAAGATATACGTTTTACAGTTACACTATCAAGGTAGAAAGCAGTTAAATCAGTATGCAAAGGCTCTCAGCCGTTCAATTTCTTTACTTTGACTGTTTATAATTCAAAACTGCAGCTTAAAATGAGCTTTTAATTTTTTTTTCTACCCCTTTTGGCGCCCCCTAGGGTCGGCGCCCGGGGCGGCCGCCCTCCCCTAGTTACGCCTCTGAATTTAACACGAAAGCGACTGTCAGGTGCAAACTGATTTAATTGAAAAAATGGAAGGAAAAGCCAATGGCAATATTTGACAGATGAGAGATAGCATCGGTGAACGTTGAATATAAAAGAACGCGATGTTTGATTGGTCCATCACTGGGTAGAGTCCTACTGTACATCATGGCAAACAAACTCTTCGCTTCCATTATTGTTGTACTGGTCCTGGTGGCGTGTGTCTCTGCTGGATACGCGGTGAGTACGTCAAAGATAGATTTATAAGATGAGTAATTCTTGGCTAATGATGACCTAGTCATAGAGTCAGTACTTCTCAGCGTAGCTGTTTGTGAGTACTTATTAGTTTGTGGCTACACTACTTTTACAGTATGGCTTATGTTAGCCTAACTAGAAAATCACCTAAGCTAAGAGCAGCGTCTCTGTTGGATCACTTCAGCTATATTGGTGACTAGGCTATAGGATAAGTGTAATATAGTGTTGCCAGTGGCGTCGCTAGGTCGGGTGTCACCTGGGGCGCCCCACCCCTCGCTACGCCTCTGAGTGTTGCAACTGGATGAGCTTATCAATTCTGTGTGTGGGTGCCTTATAGTGTACCATTTTGTTCTTATATTTTCTCTAAGGCTCCCAAATTCGTCCTTCTTAAAACACGAACTTTTATCAGTGCTGCTATTTTCACTCAGGGCAACGGGAACAAAGGCAAGAGTAATCCAGGCAATTATCCCGGAAACCAACCCAAAAACCCAGGATATCAACCCAACAACCCAGGCCATCAACCCAATAACCCAGGATATCAGCCCAATAACCCAGGCCATCAACAAAATAACCCAGGCTATCAACCCAATAACCCAGGCCATCAACACAACAACCCAGGCTATCAACCCAACAACCCAGGAAAACCTAAATATGGTCACTAAAGTCAGGTATGCTTTTTAAAATAATAACAACAGTATTTGGAAAGGTGCACGGTCGAAATCCTAACTAGATTAAACTGAAATTACACATTATTTGAATAAAGCCACAACCAAAATATAAAAACCCAAAATCTCAATTTAAAATTCCATATCTTTCAAAAAAAAAAAAAAAAAATACGAAGTGGCGCTTGTTACCGAACTTATCATAATAAATATCTGCATAATTTTTCAATCGCGAAACTAATTTAGAACCTGAAGAATATCTTGTAGGCTTTGACTCAACAAATTATTATTGATATTAATTAATGTGTGAACAATGATGTCCTAGTTTTAAAGATGTAACCTTTTGTCATGTTCATTATTTGGTTCTTTAGTTATGTAAAATATTGTGTTAGGCTTACAGGCTTTTATTTCTATCCACAGACTGCCAAATCAAAGGTCAAGGCATGATGAATCAAATTCAAGTTTAATCAATTCATAATTATTCATTTCAACTGCATTAAACGATAGAAGCTTCATTCTGTGTTCATATTTATTTATTATTTGATATGTGTCAGTTTGGGTTATCTTTCATGTCAAATAGAAAACCAACATGGTTTCGTCCATAAACGACGTCACAAATAGGCCTACTCAGAGGGGGGGGGGGAAGTAGAGGGTCGGTCTTTTGTGACGATTTGTGGATGGGGAATTTGTGTGGGAGGGGGGCAGCTCAGAAAATGTGACACTTAAGCATTCTGAAAAGTAATGCAAGGATTAGCATTGTAGTTGTAATAGAAGCTGCCCGAGCTATGTCAATATTTTAGAAAGAAATTGATACTTTCAAATAACAACTGCATTTTTTAGGGTAGGGTGGGGTGTAGAGTCAATTTAGTTGGGTGGTAAACAAATCGTCAAAAATATGACGTCAACAAAATCTATCGGGACGTCAATCAGAAAGACAAAATTTAGTTAACATCAATTAGAAAAATAATATCTTGCTGGACACCAAAGGAAAAAAACGAAATCCAACTGGACAGCAACAAAAAAAAATAATAATATAAGATCTTGTTAGTGTGAATGTTTTAAGTGAAAGTTTTTATTTTGTCTTCAAAACTAAAGATTCAAACCTGATAAAGTCTGGGATACAACGTTACAGCACATATAATAAAACATGTATTTAAATAAACCGGGAGTGATCTCCCCTAATCTTTCTCGAATACTCTTATATAACACTACGGGGGAGGGCAACTCAGAATATAGACCACGGGTTCCCAAACTGGGGGTCTCGACCCCCAGGGCTTTCTGGGGGGGGGGGGGGGGTCGCCAACTGGTAGACTAAACCTTAGCATTAAAAAAAAAACTTAAATATCTAGAAGAATATCTTAAATTCGGCTTTGCTAACATCACTGGAAATGGAATAGAGAAGAAGCAATGCCTACTGTATGAAGCTGTTCTCAGTCACGAGTTTATGCAATCTTCAAAACTAAAACGTCATTTGAGACAAGTCATTCGGAACACACCAAAAAAGATATGGAGTTCTTTCGTCGGCATGAAGCTAGTTGCAAACGTCAGAGACTTAAAGTTAATCGAACAGGAAGTTTTCACCAAAGAAACACAACATTAGTGCAAGCTACAAATGAAGTCGCGATAGAAAATGCAAAGCAAAATAAAAAAAAAACAATAGAAGAAAATCTCATCAAACCCTGCAGGTTGAAGATGGTGAAGTTAATTCTTGGGGATTCCAGTGCAGTAAAGATGCCTAATAATACTATTCAGCGGCTTATAGCAGACATGTCCATAGATGTTAAATTACACATTTTATTGAACTCAAGCTTTCAACATTGTTTGCTTTTCAAGTTGATAAATCAACAGACGTGAGTTCGTGTTCGCAATTGCTGGTCATTGTCTATATTCATTCATATGATAGCAAAGAAGAGTTCCTACTTTGTGGATATAGCATGGAGAAAACAAATACTTTTTTTTAAAACTGGATGATTAAAATGGGTTAAAACGGCTGTGTACGGTTTGTACGGATGGTGCGCCATCTACGTTTAGGTCAAAATCGGGATTTCAGAAAACAGAAAGGATTTAGCTCCGTAACCACCCTCCTTGCCATCAAGACTCCATTACTAGTAAAAGTCGTAAATTATATTAAATCTGGAGCCTTCAAAGAACTGAGCAAAGACATGAATAAAGATCATGAGGTTCTGCTTTTCTACATTACAGTACGCTGGCTGTCAAACGAATTGTTGTGAATCGTGTTTTTGAATTGAAATCTGAAATCAAGTTGTTCTTGGAAGTGCAAAGGAAACAAAACTTTTTGGTATGCTTAAAACGACATAGAGTGGTTGGAGAGAGTATCATATCTAGCAGATGTGTTCGAACATCAACATAAGCTTAATCTGAAGCTTCAGGGAAAATGAACGAATATTATAACTTTCCATGATGATCTTGGAGCATTTTTTATCAAAGCTGCAAAATCGGCGAAGAAAATAAATCTTGGAAATATTGTAAATTTGAAAAAACTCTGCAGTGTGGTAGATGAATCTGATTATGAGATAATTAAAACTTTGAAAGAAGCGATTTCTGGGCATCTTAAATCTCTTGAAAACAAAATACAGTGCTATTTCTCTGAGCTGAAAAAAGAAGAATCTGCATTGACGCATTACCCATTCTCTTCTTCCCTTGATGTTGCCAGCATTCCCGATGAATTACAATATGAATTCTTTGATTTGCTGAATGATTTCGCGTAAGATGAAAAACTGTACACAGAATTTTGGTGTAGTATTCACCATTTATACCCAAAAGTAAAATTGATTGACTTTTCGAGAATAGATTTTCAACTCTATTCTCCGATTAAAAAAAAAGAAATAAATTGAATGTTGATAATGACATAGTTTGGCGCTAACAAAAACTTAAATAACCTCGAATGTTTAGTAAATAGCATGCAATTTTACTCATGGTATTAAGACGGTTATCAAGAGTAGTTCAGGGGGCGGCGTGGTCGAGTCGGTAAAGCTCATGGTTGCTAAACCGAAAAGTCTCGATTTCGAAGGTGTGGAGGTGTGATGACCAAGCTACGCCACTGCGCGTACACACTACACACTTACACACAGAAACATATACATACATACAAGATTGCTAAATAAAGTTTTTCTGACTCAAGATGATCTAAAAAAATCGATTTCGACATTTTGCATTATGTCTTATTACTCGGATACGAGCAAGTAGTACTAAGTGTAACTAGGGAAGCAACTTAAGAATAAGTAATGTAATCAAGAAAAAAGATCGACCAGTTGCACACACAAAAAAAAAATAATAAAAATAAATAACAAATGCACTCGGCAATTAATATTTTGAACAAAATATACCTCTTGCACCTATAAAGTGCCAATCAAATATCGTTTTTTTAAATGAAACTTTTGTATATGCATGTAATTAGAAGCGCAGTGGCGTAGCCAGGATCGTCTCAAGGGAGGGGGGATCCAATTTTTACCCGGGGACAAGTTTTCGATTTGCACCCCTCCCCTCAAACTTTCGGTAAAAAACGTGTCAGTAAAAAGTCACAGAAATAGTCGAAGAATAATTTCTGCGACATATCGATTCTCTTTTTGAAAATTGTAAAATATTTCCATTCAATAAATATTGGTATTGTTTTTTGTTTTTTTTTAAATAACATACTTTTACACGTTTAAAGCGCCGTGGTTTACAATAATAATCTGACTTTTATCTCACAAGGTAAAAATTCAAAATTCTCAAATATTGTTTCATGTTGATAGCCAGGATCGTCTCAAGGGGGGGGGGGGGTCCAATTTTTACCCGTGGACAAGCTTTCGATTTGCACCCCCCCCCCCTCAGAATTTTGATTTGCACCCCCTCAAACTTTCGATTTGCACCCTCCCTCATACTTTATATATATACCGAGGGGTATACCCAGGGACAAGCTTTCGATTTGCACCCCCCCCCCCCTCTCAAACTTTCGATTTGCACCCCCTCTCAAACTTTCGATTTGCACCCCCCCCCCCCTCAAACTAACTTTCGATTTGCACCCCCCTCACACTTTATATATATATATATACCGACGGGTCTATGGGGGGTTATGACCCCCCCCTGCCTACGCCACTGTAGAAGCGTATACATTAAATTTAATATAAGACTGTTTGAAACATATTAGAACTACAATTTTTAATGTCTACCTATGCCAGTTATAATTAAATTAATAAATTTTGGGCCCCTTAGTAAAAGGGGACAGTTTTCCTAAATGAGGCAATTGCTTTAAAAAATGGTTGGCGATCCCCAGTTTAAATTAGTTGTTATTATTATTACCTTTTGGTCGTCAAGCAGCAAGTTTAAGTTCTATGAATTTTTGTTCTGTTCAGTAATTTTGTTGAAAAAAGCAGAGTTTTGATTTTAAAAGTTACGTGTCAACCCGCGGCGCATCATACGCCGCTATTTAGTTGTTTTATTTTCTACTTTTCAGTAATTAATAATTTGTGAATTCGACAATACTAATGCTGCAACTAAAAATATTTGCTTTAAAACACTATCAGTAGGTCGTTAAGGGTGATAACCCCCCCCCCCCACCCTCCTTTCCCCCAACGCCAACCCCTACCATACCCCCCCCCCTGAAAGCAGCCTCCTCTTAGTTACCTCCCTTAAGTTTTAAATCGTTTCAAACTAAATTATCTGTCCCTAATAGCCGTCACTAAACCCGGCTCTACGATAGTAAACATTTAGCGTGAACCACAGCTCACCAAACAATGTAGGGGTGGGGGTGGTAGGGTTATGCTTAGAGAGAAAGAGAGGTGGCTGCTTGGCGCGCTTACAGCTTGGTGTTTTCTAGGGTATCCAAGAAAAGAATTATATATATAGATATTTTGTTCTGAGGATAAATTAATGTTTGAGAGTACTATCAAGTGTTAAAAATTTTGAGTTTTAAAGTGTTACTTGAAGCGAATAATTTTAAAAATCTTGGGGGTGGGAGGGTGGCGAATAAACTAGAATTTCACAAAGATTAACTTGACTCGAAAATTTGTCAATTTGTTGATTTAAGGAAGTATTTTAATCAATAAAAAATGTGTCTTGATAATCTATATGAATCAATTTAAATAAACATAAATATTAAAATATGACATGTAACCTTGACAGACTCGAGGAAGTGACGTTCTCGTGGTTGATCAGATTACGTGTTAAGTGGATATTCAGTGATGGGAAATTATTTTATTTCAGTGGGACAGCTGTTTAAAACGCCTCAGTGTCTTCCTCAATCTGACTGATTTAATCAAAACAAAAGGAAGGATTAGCCAATGGCAATATTTGACAGATCAGAGATAGCATCGGTGAACGTTGAGTATAAAAGAACGCGATGTTTGATTGGTCCATCACTGGGTAGAGTCCTACTGTAGAGACAACATGGCAAACAAACTCTTCGCTTCCATTGTTGTTGTACTGGTCCTGGTGGCGTGTGTCTCTGCTGGATACGTGGTGAGTACCTTAGTTGGTCTAGTTATAGGGTGAGTAGGTGGTGGTCTAGTTATAGGGTGAGTACTTTAGGTGGTGGTCTAGTTATAGGGTGAGTACTTTAGGTGGTGGTCTAGTTATAGGGTGAGTAGGTGGTGGTCTAATATAGGGAACTTCAGGTGGTGGTCTAGTTATAGGGTGATTACTTTAGGTGGTCTAGTTATAGGGTGAGTACTTTAGGTGGTGGTCTAGTTATAGGGTGAGTACTTTAGGTGGTGGTCTAGTTATAGGGTGAGTACTTTAGGTGGTGGTCTAGTTATAGGGTGAGTACTTTAGGTGGTGGTCTAGTTATAGGGTGAGTACTTTAGGTGATGGTCTAGTTATAGGGTGAGTACTTTAGGTGGTCTAGTTATAGGGTGAGTACTTTAGGTGGTGGTCTAGTTATAGGGTGAGTAGGTGGTGGTCTAGTTATAGGGAACTTCAGGTGGTGGTCTAGTTATAGGGTGAGTACTTTAGGTGGTGGTCTAGTTATAGGGTGAGTACTTTAGGTGGTGGTCTAGTTATAGGTTGAGTACTTTAGGTGGTGGTCTAGTTATAGGGTGAGTACTTTAGGTGGTGGTCTAGTTATAGGGTGAGTACTTTAGGTGGTGGTCTAGTTATAGGGTGAGTACTTTAGGTGGTGGTCTAGTTATAAATTGAGTACTTTAGGTGGTGGTCTAGTTATAGGGTGAGTACTTTAGGTGGTGGTCTAGTTATAGGGTGAGTACTTTAGGTGGTCTAGTTATAGGGTGAGTACTTTAGGTGGTCTAGTTATAGGGTGAGTACTTTAGGTGGTCTAGTTGTAGGGTGAGTACTTTAGGTGGTGGTCTAGTTATAAATTGAGTACTTTAGGTGGTGGTCTAGTTATAGGGTCAGTAGGTGGTGTTCTAGTTATAGGGTGAGTACTTTAGGTAGTGGTCTAGTTATAGGGTGAGTACTTTAGGTGGTAGTCTAGTGATAGGGTGAGTACTTAAGGTTGTCTAGTTATAGGGTGAGTACTTTAGGTGGTGGTCTAGTTATAGGGTGAGTACTTTAGGTGGTGGTCTAGATATAGGGTGAGTACTTTAGATTGTGGTCTAGTTATAGGGTGAGTACTTTAGGTGGTGGTCTAGGTATAGGGTGAGTACTTTAGATAGTGGTCTAGTTATAGGGTGAGTACTTTAGGTGGTGGTCTAGTTATAGGGTGAGTACTTTAGGTGGTGGTCTAGTTATAGGGTGAGTAGGTGGTGGTCTAGTTATAGGGTACTTCGGGTGGTGGTCTAGTTATAGGGTGAGTACTTTAGGTGGTCTAGTTATAGGGTGAGTACTTTAGGTGGTGGTCTAGTTATAGGGTGAGTACTTTAGGTGGTGGTCTAGTTATAGGGTGAGTACTTTAGGTGGTGGTCTAGTTATAGGGTGAGTACTTTAGGTGGTGGTCTAGTTATAGGGTGAGTACTTTAGGTGGTCTAGTTATAGGGTGAGTACTTTCGGTGGTGGTCTAGTTATAGGGTGAGTAGGTGGTGGTCTAGTTATAGGGAACTTCAGGTGGTGGTCTAGTTATAGGGTGAGTACTTTAGGTGGTGGTCTAGTTATAGGTTGAGTACTTTAGGTGGTGGTCTAGTTATAGGGTGAGTACTTTAGGTGGTGGTCTAGTTATAGGGTGAGTACTTTAGGTGGTGGTCTAGTTATAGGGTGAGTACTTTAGGTGGTGGTCTAGTTATAGGGTGAGTACTTTAGGTGGTGGTCTAGTTATAGAGTGAGTACTTTAGGTGGTGGTCTAGTTATAGGGTGAGTACTTTAGGTGGTCTAGTTATAGGGTGAGTACTTTAGGTGGTCTAGTTATAGGGTGAGTACTTTAGGTGGTCTAGTTGTAGGGTGAGTACTTTAGGTGATGGTCTAGTTATAGGGTCAGTAGGTGGTGTTCTAGTTATAGGTTGAGTACTTTAGGTGGTGTTCTAGTTATAGGGTGAGTACTTTAGGTGGTAGTCTAGTTATAGGGTGAGTACTTAAGGTTGTCTAGTTATAGGGTGAGTAGGTGGTGGTCTAGTTATAGGGTGAGTACTTTAGGTGGTGGTCTAGTTATAGGGTGAGTACTTTAGGTGGTGGTCTAGTTATAGGGTGATTACTTTAGGTGGTCTAGTTGTAGGGTGAGTACTTTAGATGGTGGTCTAGTTATAGGGTGAGTACTTTAGGTGGTGGTCTAGTTATAGGATGAGTTCTTTAGATGTTGGTCTAGTTATAGGATGAGTACTTTAGCTGGTGGCCTAGTTATAGGGTGAGTACTTTAGGTGGTGGTCTAGTTATAGGGTGAGTACTTTAGGTGGTGGTCTAGTTATAGGGTGAGTAGGTGGTGGTCTAGTTATAGGCTGAGTACTTTAGGTGGTGGTCTAGATATAGGATGAGTACTTTAGATTGTGGTCTAGTCATATTTTAATTGCTGATTTGTTGTCACTAGTTCTTATCGAATTGGTGGTCTAACATCAGATCGAGTTATTGAAAGTAGAGGCCTAGCTGTGGTCTATATGTAGGTAACTGGTGTGGAAATGACCGCTTTAAGTAACTGTAAAATTGTTTCCCAGGGCAACGGGTACAAAGGCAACAGTAATCCAGGCAATTATCCCGGAAATCAACCCAAAAACCCAGGATATCAACCCAACAACCCAGGCTACCAACCCAACAACCCAGGCTACCAACCCAACAACCCAGGATACCAACCCAACAACCCAGGATACCAACCCAACAACCCAGGATACCAACCCAACAACCCAGGATACCAACCCAACAACCCAGGATACCAACCCAACAACCCAGGAAAACCTAAATATGGTTGAAGTTGAACAGAGGTATGCACTTTAAATCACAGTAACGTATTCAACAAGTAGCTTTACCTGTGTGTCTTGCGACCCCACCAACACATGCTGTGTAGTAAACAATAATTAGAAAAAAAACATTTAAAATTTGCACTTGATATATTGCACCTACATATTACAGGCCTCAGAGGCGTAGCGACCCTTCTCGGCGCCCGGTGACAAACTTTCAATTTGTCGCCCCTCGGGAGCAATTTTTTTATTTGCACCCCCCGTCAAACTATTTATAATGCAAAAATGCAGCTAAAATGACATTTTAATTTGTTTTTACAACCCATTTTGGCGCCCCCTAAGGTCGGCGCCCGGGGACATATGTACCCCCCTGCCCCCCCCCCCCCCCCCCCCCCATCGCTACGCCTCAGATAGGCCTACTTGTTGTTGCTTTAATAATTGATATCGTACCTCAGTAAACTCTAGTTTTATGGATATTTGTACCAAAGTAAACTATAATTTTAGCTATTAGCTAAGGGCTATCTGCCAATCAGTGTTTATGTTTTAAACAAGAGTTCACGCTCTATAACCAAAACGTTATAAGATGTTTGAATAAAATAAGCCTGGCCAACAGCGGTAAGTGTGGTATAAAATAAACATTACGAAATATTCATAAATGTTTTACAAAGGGTAATTAAAAATAATTTGTGTTTTTTTAACTTTATGTTTCAAAATATATTTTCAGGTATTTCAACTGACTGGTGACATGTCAACTCATGATGAGTCCAATTAAGTTTAAGCTAATTAATTGATCTTAGGATTAACATGATACTAGACCATTAAAGGATATAATCATGATGTGGTCTTCTTGTCTTTGTTATCACCCTTCTGGTGCTTGTATTTAAAGGAAGGTTAAATCCATCTCGACATAAAACAGCGAGGTCACTGGACGTGAATGAAAGTATTTGAGCGACGATTAAAACCATACCCTAAAATTCTGACTTGAATCTCGCCTAATATCATGTTGTTTCAACTGGTGTAGCTGGCTTCTAACAATAATTAAATACAAGCAGAACTGTAACACTTACATAAAAAGGCTTAACACCATCTCTAGACTTAGCCAAACCCTAAAAAAACCCTAGTCCTAGATCCAACCGTAAAGTAACCCTTGCCATTGATCAAACCCTAAAATAACCATAGCCCTAGATCAAACCCTAACATAACCCTAGCCCTAAATCCAACCGTAAAGTACCCCTAGCCCTAGATCCAACCCTAAAGTAACCCTAACCCTAAATCCAACCCTAAAGTAACTCTAGATCCTTAGATCGAACCCTAAAGTAACCCTAACCCTAAATCCAACCCTAAAATAACCCTAACCCTAGATCCAACCCTAAAGTAACAGTAACCCTAAATCCAACCCTAAAGTAACTCTAGATCCTTAGATCGAACCCTAAAATAACCCTAACCCTAGATCCAACCCTAAAGTAACCCCAACACTGAAACCCTTGGTCTCTAAAAAATGTAAGAGATTTCAAGAGCAACCAAAGCTTTTACTAAAGAAAAAAGTTCATTTTATTTGATTATTTTTATTGCATTCTAAAGCTTGTTGTTATAAAGGTTTTTTTTTTATATTTGTTTTATTTAAAAATTTAATGCAGAACGCATCATATTTGTACTTTAAATTAAAATTAATTAAATGCGGTTATAAATTTAAAGGGCATTAACTAAGTAAGAATTGTTTAAACACGATACTTATATTGGTTGCCCCCCTTAGATTCTCACAACATCTCTAGTAGAGGCTGGAAAAAAATGGCTTAAGAACTGCTGTGAAAAACATCAATTATAATATTTTGGTAACATTGATACAATTATGACCACCACACGCAACTACCTAGTGCGGACATCAGCGGGGCGAAGCAAGGCTCAGCCCAATCAAATGTCAAGCCACACACACTGGCAAACTAACCCACACTCAACAACCATAAAATCATATCACTACACCAGCAATGACACCCTAGCTTTGTGAAGTGCTCTGCTAAGTGATTTAAAAGTCCATTCACGTGATCGGTGTGTCATTGTATCTTTTCGACACATCGCACGAAAATATTAATTATTACCGCGTCACATTACTGCCATTGGGGTCCGGTCCATTGGAAATTGATTAATTAAAATATATTTAAAACCAAACTTAATTATCAACAGTTTGCGAAATGTAGTTATGAATTTTTGATAGCATGTAATGGAAACATATAAAACGGCAACCTACACTTTAGCTAGAAGTGCTTTTAAAGTATGGACGTTTATACTTTTAGAAGCTTCGTCGTGTTTGCAAATTTTAAAAAGTTGCCCATACAAAATGTTCACCAGTATGACAAATTTTAAAAGTTGCCCATACAAAATGTTCTCCAGTATGGCAAGTTTTAAAACTTTTAATCTGGAGAGTGCTTGTCAGATTAATGCTGATGTTGCAGGTCTGTCCCAAAAACCAATTTATCTGGCTTTATGTTGAGAAGGTTCTAGATGTAAAACACCTCACATCACATAGGGTCACTTATCATGTTGAGAAGGTTCTAGATGTAAAACATCTCACATCACATAGGGTCACTTATCATGTTGAGAAGGTTCTAGATGTAAAACATCTCACATCACATAGGGTCACTTATCAGTAACGTGTTGAGACGTGAAAAACTTATATCACATCTGTAACGTGTATGAATACATTAAAGACTCGTGTTTCTATACGAAAACATTGTAATGACCAAATACAAGATCTCTGACCTTAATGGCTTGGGAATGGCTGCCCTGTCAAAAGGGCATATGCCTTCAACGGTCCGCTAGTGCCTATCGCAGTGTGGCACCAGTGAAGGCTGACATGGCAGACGTCTGGAACCAAACGCCAGCCCACGTGACTTGTATCGGCTTGTGCGCATAGCGCGTGGTCCCCTGAATCAGCCAATGGCCGGCCATGATTGTTGGGTCCAAGTTTTTCCAAGTTGTTGTGGGGCTCGATAATTGGTGACACACCAACTGTAAGTATTTCACCAATACTTATATCTCTTGCTTTGTTTTGGTCACGAATTTTATTTTGTTGTATTTGTCACACTTAAAATAATTCCTTTGTTTTTTGTTAAATTTATTTGATTTTGTCACTTCACTCATGTATCTCACATCTTTATTTTTGTCACTCTTATTTCACTTTTTTTTATTTTTGTCATAAACACTCGCTACTTTATATTTGTAACACTTATTTAATTTTTAAATATATTTTTGTTACTTATTTCCCTTTCTTCATTTTTGTTACAATAGCGTCCCGTCTTTACTTTTTAATGCAAAAGTATATTTTGTAGTTGAACATTGTATATTAAAATAACCACAAGACAGCTGAACAAATGACAGGACAGTTACATACAGGACAGACTATCATACAGGAGAGTCAAATGTAGGATAGTATTAAAAATGTGAATTGATGAAAATTCTCTTTCTAAAAAGTTAACTTTTTAGTTACTGCATACATGACACCAATGAAATGACATCACATGGCATGTCATTTTAAAACCACATCACATACAAATCTCATCACATCATCCTACCACATCACACCATGTAAAGTCACTTCTTTTGAGCATCACAGCATATGATATGACATCACACCACATCACATAAAACTAAATCATGTGAAATCACACCACAGCATATGACATCACAACACCACATAAAACTAAATCATGTGAAATCACACCACAGCATATGACAACACCACACCACATAAAACTAAATCATGTGAAATCACACCACAGCATATGACATCACCACACCACATAAAAACTAAATCATGTGAAATCACATCACATAACATTACATGTCAGGACACTAAGCCCCAAGACAACCTGAAAGACATTCAGTTGTTTTCCTAAAACCTCCCACCTGAGTTTCTTTCAGGCATCTCGGGGAGGGGGGGGGCAGGGAGGATGTACTCGAGTGCGCGATAATTTGAGAAGGTTTAATTAGAGGGATGAGCAGGGAAAAGTCACAGAAAAAAGTCACGGAAATAAAGGCAGAGTTTCTTTTGTTTTGTTTTTTGTTGTTTTTTTTCTAGGGAAAAAAGTCACAGAAAAATAGTTTGGGAAATAAAGTCACAGTTCTTCGCGAGATAAATAAAAAGTCACTGAAAAATAGTCACAGAAAAAGTCACAGAAAAATAGTTTCGGAAATAAGGTCAAAGTTTTTCGCGAGATAAATAAAAAGACAGAAAAAAAAGTCACAACGTAAAAAACGTTTTGAGGTTCAAGAATAATATCTGAGAAATATCGATTCTTTTTTTGAAAATTGTAAAATATTTCGACTCAATAAATGTTGGTATTGTTTTTTTAATAACACACTTTTACACTTTCAAAGCGCTATCTCAACCAAAAGAAACATTCAAAATTCTCATTTTTTTTCATGTTGATTTGAATATATAGTACAAAAATAATTATAAAATAAGTTACAATTTTGTATACAAAAGCCAGAATTTAAAAACAAAACAAGATCATATACTTAGTCCGTTGGAACAAGTTAAAAACCGACATTGTACATAATTCATACTACTATTTTACCATAATAATACAATAATACTTACTTATACATATTTTTTAAATCTTGTAAAATACAATCAAGCTGATTTTACATTTCAAATGCTTAGTAAATGGACCTAAATGTTATTAACAAACTCCGTGAAAATACAAATTTATGAAAATCTATCGTGACTTTTTTCTTTGACTTTTTTCCTGTGACTTTTTTTTATTTCTATAATCATGAAAGGGGACAAAAAATCTGTATCTTTGTATAAAAACCATGAAAATAATGCGCGTATAAAAACAAGTAAAAAAAAAGCGCGTATAAATCTATGTAAGAATGTGCGTATAAACCATGTAAGAATGTGCGTATTATACCATGTCAGGAATGTGCGTACAGACCATGTACCAAGAGAGCGAGACATTAGCTGCTATCAACCCGCTGAAGACAGAGCCATCTATTGCTGAGATTCTGGCTGACGTGTCGGCACATTATGCGCACAATTCTCCAACCGTTGCTACAACTATTAGACTATGTTAAATATTATTTTAGTTCAAGTTTTTGTTTCTAAAAATACAAAATTTTCTAACTCAATCGGCGACTGTCATGTGATGCTAATCATAAACGTCTCTAATGACCACAGGCCAGTCAGCACCATGAACTTCCGGTCAACAATCAGCTGTCTGCCTCGTCCAGGTGCCGGATGTTACGTCACAGTGCTGGTCTTAGCCCTTGTCACCTTGCTAGCATCGGGTGAAGGTCAGCGTCACGCATGGGAGGCTCCAGGTTGTCATAGGGTTGGTAAGTGGTTGTGTTGTGTAGAGGGTTGGTAAGTGGTTGTGTTGTATTTGTTGGATTCGTTGTGTTGTGTAGAGGGTTGGTAAGTGGTTGTATTGTATGTGCTTGACTCATTGTGTTATAGTCTTGTGTTGTAGTTTGTAGTTCAAGTATATGTTGTTTTATTGTGATATTGCTATGTGTTGTAGTTTGAAGTTCAAGTGTATGTTGTTTTATTGTGATATTGCTATGTGTTGTAGTTTGAAGTTCAAGTGTATGTTGTTTTATTGTGATATTGCTATGTGTTGTAGTTTGAAGTTCAAGTGTATGTTGTTTTATTGTGATATTGCTATGTGTTGTAGTTTGAAGTTCAAGTGTATGTTGTTTTATTGTGATATTGCTATGTGTTGTAGTTTGAAGTTCAAGTGTATGTTGTTTTATTGTGATATTGCTATGTGTTGTAGTTTGAAGTTCAAGTATATGTTGTTTTATTGTGATATAGTTGTGTGTTGTAGTTTGTAGCTGTAAAATTTAAGTTGTTTTTGTGTTGTGTTGTATATTGTACGTGTTTTACATTCTGTAGTGTTGTATATTGTACGTGTTTTACATGCTGTTGTGTTATGTTGTATGTTGTGAATTCAGATATATACGTCTAGCAGTGCTACCTATCGGCCAATCACTCGAGTATAGATCTAGTCGCCAACTTTAAAAAGTCTGTCAGAAAATTACGAAAATGTTGTTTGTTCGAATTGCCAAAATAATGAAATGTTCGCTCTCATATGTTTTTAAACCAACGCCACCTCATCAAGAGACTACCCAACGGTTAAAAACAATTTCCCCCGGCAATTGTTTTCATCTACGTCAATCTCGACACTAGGTTAAATTTAATTAATTAATTAGCACGATTTGATGAATAGTTTTTTTTAGTCATAACTTTGCGACTGTTTCGATGGTTCCAAATAATTTAGATGCCAAGATAAAAAGATAATTGTTCAAATGATTTAAGTGGAGCAATGACAAAGCCACAACGTTTCTTGCTGAAACATCTGAAGTCTGATTGGTTTAATGTGGTCTTTGGTGGGGCTTGGGGTTGGAGCGGGGGGGGGGGGGGGCGAACAACGGATGGAGTAGGGGGAGGGGATTTTTTTGTGTCAATCTGTCGCTCTGAGCTTTTTGCTCGTGTCTTCATATAGTGAGATCATGTGGGGGTGGGGAGGGGGCGTTAAACAGGTAAGTCGTTAGGTATGGGATAAGAGCTGTCATGGTTAAAATTTTATTTAACTCGCTTCCTCTGTCGTCAGTCTGTCGTCAGTCTAGATCGAAACGCCGGAGCGAAAATTCGGACACTTCTACGAGACAGATCCGGTTCACAGTTGGCACGTGGGTCAAGACATGAAGACAATGCAATATGAAATTAAATTTGACTTAATTGGATGCCTAATTAATTTTTTATGAGTTAATTAAAATTTGGACCGAATTATGGCATTTCTATCCAAACGCGTCATCACGGCAAAAGCGCGTTATTACGTTCAATAGCTGCGCCATCACGTTCAATGGGCGCACAATGGTTTTTAGTCATGAAACACTATTGTAAATAAAAACATGTAAAGTACTAAAAAAATGTCATAAAAAACGTTTTAATAACAATCTTTTATGTACTAATGCACTAAAAAGTAGAAAATAAATTATAGACTACTATTTAAATAACTATAAAGAAAAGCGTGGGTCTCTTCCTAAACATTAGTAAAGGTATCCAATAGATACTTAAGTGACCCACGCTTTTCTTTATAGTTATTTAAATAGTAGTCTATAATTTATTTTCTACTTTTTAGTGCATTAGTACATAAAAGCTTGTTATTAAACCGTTTTTTATGAATTTTTTTTACAAGCTTATATTTAAATTGCTTCCTCTGTCGTCAGTCTGTCGTCAGTCGTCAGTCGAAATCGAAACGGCCGTGCGAAATTGCAGGCAGTTCTAACTGACAGATATGGTTCGTAGTTGGAACGTGGGTCAAGGCATGAAGACAATGCATTGTGACATTAAATATGACTTAATTGGATGCCTAATTATTTTTTTATGAATTAATTTAAATTTTGACCAAATTAGTAGGCATTTCTATCCAACTACTCCACACGCGTCATCACGTTCAATAGCGTGTCATCACGTTCAATAGGCGCGCAATGGTTTTTAGGCATGAAACTATTGTAAATAAAGACATGTAAAGTACTAAAAAAAAATCACAAAAAACGTTTTAATAACAAGCTTTTATGTAATAATGCACTACAAAGTAAAAAATAAATTATACACTACTATTTAAATTACTATAAAGAAAAGCGTGGGTCTTTTCCTAAATATTAGTAAAGGTATCCAATAGATACTAAAGTGGTCCACGCTTTTCTTTATAGTTATTTAAATAGTAGTCTATAATTTTTTTTTCTACTTTTTAGTGCATTATTACACAAAAGCTTATTATGAAAACTTTTTTTTATTAAATTTTTACAAGCTTTTATTTAACTCACTTTCTCTGTCGACAGTCTGCCGCCAGTCGTCAGTCTGTCTAGATTGAAACGCCCGAGCGAAATTGCAGGCACTTCTAACTGACAGATACGGTTTGTAGTTGGAACGTGGGTCAAGACATGAAGACAATGCATAGTGACATTAAATTTGACTTAATTGGTCACCTAATTAATTTTTTATGAATTAATTAAAATTTTGACCAAATTAGTAGGCATTTTTGTCCCACTACTCCACATGCGTCATCACGTTCAATAGCGCGTCATCACGTTCAATAGGCGCGCAATGGTTTTTAGTCATGAAACTTCTCAAATATTAGTAACGGTATCCAATAGGTACTAAAGTGACCCACGCTTTTCTTTATAGTTATTTAAATAGAAGGGTATATTTTATTTTCTACTTTTTAGTGCATTATTACATAAAAGCTTGTTATTAAAACGTTTTTTTACGAATTTAAAAAAAAAATGTGTATAATAAACTGTGATAGAGAACTGTGTTAGCAGTCTATAGAGAAGTTTACCGTGCACCACTTCACCGACATTTATTGCCATATCTTTCATAGAATTCTGTTTGGTTAGGTCAGATAAAGAGAATAGGTACAAAATGAATGGCCTGCATTTTAAATTAGCCTGACTTAGTCGTTAGGAAACTTCAATTATTTGTGTCGCCATTTTAGACCTATTTCGTGTGGCGTTACGTGATAATAATTTTAAAAAAATGTAAATAACTTTTTAAAGTGTTGAACTTAGAGATGTTTTAAAATATTGTAAATAAATCTTGTTTAACACACGTAGATGACAACCTTTTCAATACATTTGGTTTTAACATTTTTAAATTTGATAGAGGAATAGAAGAAGTTGGCTTGTTTGGATTAAAAGTCTCCTCTATTTAACCACCCTCTCTACCCCCCTCTATCCCGCCACCCTCTCTACCCCACCCCTCTCTACCCCCACCCCTCTCTACCCCACCCCTCTTTACCCCTACCCTCTCGACCCCAACCCCTCTCTACCCCCACCCTCTCTACGCCCACCCTCTCTACCCACCCCCACCCTCTCTACCCACCCCCACCCTCTCTACCCCCCACCCTCTCTACCCCCACCCCTCTCTACCCCACCCCTCTCTACCCCCACCCACTCCACCCACCCTCTCTACCACACCTTCTCTACCCCACCCTCTCTACCCCCACCCTCTCTACCCCACCCTCTCTACCCCCACCCTCTCTACCCCCACCCTCTCTACCCCACCCTCTCTACCCCCACCCTCTCTACCCCAACCTCTCTACCCCCACCCTCTCTACCCCCACCCTCTCTACCCCACCCTCTCTACCCCATCCTCTCTACCCCCACCCTCTCTATCCCCACCCTCTCTACCCCCCACAATCTCTACCCCCACCCTCTCTACCCAACCCTCTCTACCCCACCCCTCTCTACCCCCACCCCTCCCTACCCCACCCTCTCTACCCCCACCCTCTCTACCCCCACCCTCTCTACCCCCACCCTCTCTACCCAACCCTCTCTACCCCACCCCTCTCTACCCCCACCCCTCCCTACCCCACCCTCTCTACCCCCACCCTCTCTATCCCCATCCTCTCTACCCCTACCCTCTCTATCCCCACCCTCTCTACCCCCACCCTCTCTACCCCCACCCTCTCTACCCCCACCCTCTCTACCCCCACCCTCTCTACCCACCCCCACCCTCTCTACCCACACCCTCTCTACCCCCACCCTCTCTACCCCCACCCTCTCTACCCCCACCCTCTCTACCCCCACCCTCTCTACCCCCAGGATTCACACGGACTGTCAACATCCCTGGATGTGTCCCCTTTGACGTGACGACCAACGCGTGCCGCGGCTACTGTGTCTCCTACTCCGTACCCTCCCCCATAGACACGCTGGCCTTTAACCCCAACTTCATCATCACCTCCAAGGCCGAGTGTTGCGGTATGGTGGACACCTATGACGTAAGTAATGTCCGAGTGTTGCGGCATGGTGGACACCTATGACGTAAGTAATGTCCGAGTGTTGCGGCATGGTGGACACCTATGACGTAAGTAATGTCCGAGTGTTGCGGCATGGTGGACACCTATGACGTAAGTAATGTCCGAGTGTTGCGGCATGGTGGACACCTATGACGTAAGTAATGTCCGAGTGTTGCGGCATGGTGGACACCTATGACGTAAGTAATGTCCGAGTGTTGCGGCATGGTGGACACCTATGACGTAAGTAATGTCCGAGTGTTGCGGCATGGTGGACACCTATGACGTAAGTAATGTCCGAGTGTTGTGGCTTGGTGGACACCTATGACGTAAGTAATGTCCGAGTGTTGTGGCTTGGTGGACACCTATGACGTAAGTAATGTCCGAGTGTTGTGGTATGGTGGACACCTATGACGTAAGTAATGTCCGAGTGTTGCGGCATGGTGGACACCTATGACGTAAGTAATGTCCGAGTGTTGCGGCATGGTGGACACATATGACGTAAGTAATGTCCGAGTGTTGCGGCATGGTGGACACCTATGACGTAAGTAATGGATGTCGTACTGACGTAGTCAACAAGATGATGACCTTAGATTTACCTACTGATATGATATCACAGTGAAATTTAATGGCGGCGCCAAAGCCATTTTGATATGTGAGGTTGATAATGGTTAACTTGAGGCTTCAAGATGATATTCAGTTGGAAATGGTGACTTGAAATAAATGTTAGAAATATTTTAGATACATGACACAAATAACGCAGAGGAAGTAGAGTTCTTTTATTTTTTTCAAGTGACTGCGACGTAAGTCTGCGCTTTAGACATGTCCAGTTGAGATGTTTTACAGTAGTCGCACACTGATTCATCTCCTTGAACCTGCATACACACACTGTGTATGTGTGTATGTGCGGGGGGGGGATGTATGTATAGAACAGCACCACACCACCACCACATCACTGACCACACATACACCCACTAGAGCACTAAAAATTACCGCACCGCCATCTGAGTGTCTACCCAATACTCCCACACACACACACACTAGATTACTGAAACAGCCCACACAATACACCCACTAGACCACTAAAACAGCCCACACAATACACACATCAGACCACTAAAACTTACCACACAATACACACATCAGACCACTAAAACAGCCCACACAATACACACATCAGACCACTAAAACTGACCACACAATACACACATCAGACCACTAAAACTTACCACACAATACACACATCAGACCACTAAAACTGACCACACAATACACACACTAGACCACTAAAACTGACCACACAATACACACATCAGACCACTAAAACTTACCACACAATACACACATCAGACCACTAAAACTGACCACACAATATACACATCAGACCACTAAAACTTACCACACACCCCCCCCCCCCCGAATGTCCACAGGTCAAGGTGTGGGTGGCGTGTAGAGACGGCTTCCAGCAGAAGACTTTCAAATCCGCCAGAAGCTGCGCCTGCTCCATCTGCAGGAGAGAACAATAGGTCAAGGTCATTTTCGTCAATTTTCAGGGTCAACTGCAGCAGACAACTTTTCTCATACAAAAACAGCTGACATAATGTTAAAAAACAATTAGCAATTTAACGTTATGAAGTAAAATGCTTTTCGAATACAATCAGCGTTATAATGACATTCTATCAAAGCTACCAAAGAACATACAGCTGATTTGATAACAAATCTTGTTAAAACTTGACATTGGATTTACACTTGCAATTAGAATTAAAAATACTTCTATTTCTACTGATTAAAATCGTAAAGAAAACATAAATATATAGAATCTAGAACTTTTAATAGCAATGTTCTCAATGGTGTGAACTAGTGTAAAGTTTTTGGTGGTTTTGGAGAAATGATGGTGTATTAAGCGAGGTGCTATACATGTAGTGTACATGGTTTAACGCGCGTTAATCACGTTGTAAACAAATTAAACACGTGTTTAGCTTGTGTTAAACTGACCAGGTGCTGGTGGAGATTTAAAATGTAAAGCTCTATAAATAAACACCACGGTATGTCACACACTGTGTTGCTTATCTGTTCAACAAAACTATTTGTGTGTATTTTGTCTGGTGTTGTTGGTCTACATGACGCAAGTGGGGGGGGGGGGGGGGGGGGGGAAGATGTCGACTGAGCATTACCCATTCTCACTACGGGTTCCCTATTACAAACCTGACGTCCATGGAGCAAGTGAAGTAGAGTTCATCTGTTTTTGCGATCTCGGCATATGACCTGTTTATAACGTGTGTTAGGTACCCATCAGAGCTGGGTGAACTCAGGGACATTCTACTGTCATGGACCCTGATTCCAACTCGAGACTTTCGGGTTAGCAGTCTAGCGCTCTACCGCTACGCCACACAGTCCCATATTTTCACCCCTACTCCATTATAAACTGTAACATGCAAAATATCCCCCCCCCCCCCCCCAAAAAAAAAAAACTAAGCATAAGATACACCTTCGTCAAACAATTAATGACGTCATGAGACACCTGACTTGAAAATAAATCGATGGTGGTTTAAAACTTGTAACAGCAATCAGAAAGTTAATGTCTTATAGGTTGAAGGGAATCGTGTCAACTTTCATGAAGCTGATATTTTGATTAGTAGAGGGGATAATGAAACAGGAGATCCACAGGTTAGGTTTCAGAAATGTAACAAAACATTTTTTGCATTTTTAAACTTTGATAAATGGAATTTTATCCTTTATTTCAAGTTTTACAAAAAAAAAATTTTTTAAATTGTATTAGAAATTGATTAATATAGGTCAATGGTTGACCAAGTTCAGAAAATATTTTTAAAATAAAAAAAAATCGATGTTTTAAAATCTCCAATTTTGAGGGGAGGGGGTTGGTAAGTTGAGATATTACTAACAAATTATATTTAACATATTTAAGACCTATCTCTTAACTTAAAATATTTTTTATTCATGTATTGTTTTTGGTATAGTTATATGAACTAAATAATTCTAATTGTATTTAATAAGTATTCACTGTACATTTTTTTTTTCACAATACTCGATATTGATTGGCTGTCAACGTCACGTGTTTTAGAAAAGCTTTGAATTTCCCGCGAGACTCATCCATAAGTGGATGCCATCGCCACCTCCCCCCTCCCTCCACCAAGCTAATTCATTAGCCCACACACTGTGGATATTTTACTCAAGTAATTATAGGACCCGAAGCCATTGAGCTGGGTGAGCTACTTTATGAAGGCAAATATTGTTGTTTTTGTGCTCAAGTTGTGCTGGTCAGCCTCAAGGGTCGTCTCCCCTTAATGTAAACATTTGGATTTGAGATGTAAAACTCACGATGGACTGCACTGATACAGCACACAATCTTGAGTTAAAGTTAAAGACAAAAAGAGGTCCTGACAGCATGATGTCTTGACAAGACTTTTAGAGCGGACAGCATGACGTCATGAACAATTTTTTTTAGAGTGGACAGCAAGACGTCCTGACAAGACATTTTGAGCGGAGAGCATGACGTCATGAAAAAAAAAATTACAGTGGACAGCAAGACATCCAGATTGACTGCACTAAAGTAATACACTAGCGATGCAAAATTAACATACAAACTAGACGTATGTTTGTTTTAAATTCTACACCAACTAGGCCTACATACTACAGTAACACAAGAGTCCGTCTTCTTTAAGTTGAGCAAAGATTCGTGAATTATGTTCCCGTCTTCTTTAAGTTGAGCAAAGATTCGTGAATTATGAGTCCATCTTCCTTATGTTTAGCAAAGATTCGTGAATTATGAGTCCATCTTCCTTATGTTTAGCAAAGATTCGTGAATTATGAGTCCATCTTCCTTATGTTTAGCAAAGATTCGTGAATTATGAGTCCATCTTCCTTATGTTTAGCAAAGATTCGTGAATTATGAGTCCATCTTCCTTATGTTTAGCAAAGATTCGTGAATTATGAGTCCATCTTCCTTATGTTTAGCAAAGATTCGTGAATTATGAGTCCATCTTCCTTATGTTTAGCAAAGATTCGTGAATTATGAGTCCATCTTCCTTATGTTTAGCAAAGATTCGTGAATTATTTTCCTATCTCATAACTGTCAACGTGACACAAATTTGATACCATTTCCATCTAATTATTTTTACAAACGTTTTAATTATAAATAAATAATTAATGCAGATGTGAATTAACGAAACGGTTTAATTAATGTTTTTATAGACCAATCGTGCCGTAGTGATCGTGTTGTCACTATTTCAAGATTTCGAACATTCGCCTTATTGAATATTTAATGAATCCTTGAATTTTTAGGTAAATGTTGGTGTAGAGTTTGGTTAAATATTTACACAACCACAAATGCGGATCAAAGTCCATATGTAGCTTCAAATTTAGCTCAAAAATGTGTTTATAATTATGTGAAACACCATTCCATCAAAAATTGCTTGCCTAGAGTTCGACTAAAGAAAGATCATTACACCTTTGTGATGGGAAATGTTAAAAATAAATCGTCAGATTTCAAGCTAGGCAACTATTCTTTTAAAAATGATTTAAAAGGTTTAGCTCAGCGGTTCTTAACGTTTTGTAGATACCGAACCTCACCAACTTCATATGCTCAGAACACAGGGCAGGGGTTCGAATACTAGTCACACTTGTATTTTTTTTCTGAGGGTTTTTTTTCTCCATTTCTTTCGAGTAATTGAACTCTCAGCTCAATGGTGACGTATAGTTACGCTCTTTACTCCTCTGGTGACAGAATAGTATCATGAGCTGAGATAGAGGTCAACATGACATGCACTGATCACACCTCGTCAAATCTTAAATGTCACCTCACTCGATGTCATCCATATTTCACTTAATGTCAAATGTCATGCAACAATTTAAATGTCAACACACCAAGTAAACAGGTCGTTTATTAATGTCACCTCAGTCGATGTCATCCATAATTCACTTGATGTCAAAATGTCATGCAACAATTTAAATGTCAACACACCAAGTAAACAGGTCGTTTATTAATGTTACCTCACTCGATGTCATCCATAATTCACTTGATGTCAAAATGTCATGCAACAATTTTAATGTCACACACCACGTAAACAGGTAGTTTTGGCGGGAAAATCTTGATTTCTGCTTTCAAATTTCGTCATTAGCCAGACGTCACTTGATGACTTTGATCTTTTGAAACCTTTAAATTTTAAACTGCTCTTGTCTAGATGGTACATAATGTATCGAGTTTGTGGATTCAACTCGGGGTTACAGCTCAACATAACTAAAAAGGAAAGTTCTGGAACTTATGGACAGAGATAATGGTTGTCATTGTGAAACACCAACACTAATCCAAAGTTTGAGAAGCTGATACTCCCCTTAGCGCTGTAAAATCTGGGAGCGAGCTAGTATTTTGATTCCTGCGCACTAACAATATCGAAGTTTCACAATAGAAGAAATGTGTTTTGGTAAGCTGTATTTGGTACAACAATAGTCATATTTAATACGTTGTTTATTGTTATAAGTCAGTCATAAGTCAAATATAAGTCAACTATAATCCAATGATGAGACAACTATAAGTCAACTATAAATCTACTATAAATCAACGCAAGTCATCTATATGAACTCGACAAATGGAATAGAGATTTGACCTTTCCAGACGACATTTGAATTTCTGATTTTCCTAAAATTTCTTCCGCCTACAATAATGAACGCGACAAAAATATTCTTTGTCATTTGAGTATAGTTATTTTAAGCGTGCTTTAATCAGTATTTATGAAGAAAGGAAGATATTGATATGCAAATGATATGCAAAGTATTTAATTACGTTTGTCTTACTTTGTGAGTTTCTCAATAATGTTCGGTAGGTATTTTATAACTTTCATCATAAATTGAAGTTTTGTAAATATTATTGTTATTAATGAACAGTTTTCTGTTGATGACAACAGAAGTATTCTACTGGACGAGCCAATACAAGCTTTAGCATATTAAACAATTAAAATACATGTATTTTAAATTGCAGTTTGTCTACATTTATAGATGCCCGTGTTCCAAAGCACAGGTTTAAGCAAACTTTGTATTATTTGTATGCCAATTATTCAAATCTCCGTGTATGGTGATCTTTTACATTTGAAAATGTTTACAATAAACAAGTCCCAACATGTTTCAATAAACAAGTCCCAACATGTTTCAATAAACAAGTCCCAAAATGTTTCAATAAAAAAGTCCCAACATGTTTCAATAAACAAGTCCCAACATGTTTCAATAAACATTTCCCAACATGTTTCAATAAACAAATCCCAATGAACAGGTTTCACATAGACACAATAAATTAATCGGTCAGACTTGAATTTTTTAATTAGCTCCGCTCGACTAAAACCTAGGTATTCAGGTTACTCAAGCCATTATTTATTAAATCTATGGAACTAAAATCATAAATCAACCCGTTTTATTTCATCAAATTAAAAGTCTTTGACCTGTAGGTTAACGTCTTTGTTTACACCGACGTCATAAGTCAGGAGTCAAGTATTTTATGTGTGTGCTCAAGTCATTAAATATAATTAATTGTCAGACGTCATGTATGCTGTCTATTGCATCTAGGAGCATTTGACTGCTAGCCCGAGGGTCTAGAGTTCAGATCTCGGTTCGGACTTGTGACTGTAGGACGTCTCTGAGTCAACCCAGCTCTGATGAGTACCTGTCTTACGTTGGGGAAAACAAAGGCGGTTGGGCATAGTGTGAAGACACCAACCCTACCTATGCCGAGGTCAAGAAACATATGCACTCTACTTCATCTGCACAATGGATCGCTAGGTCTAAAGAGGATTTTTACTTTTGATTTGGTATCTAAGAGATAACGAAACACCGTTTTGTTAAATAAACAGCTACAATGACATCAAATCGCTAAGCCGGGTATTCCAGCAATAGAAGAATTTAAAAGATTCGAGTTTTTGGCATAACTTCACAACAAGAGTAGCAAAAAAATTGAAATCTAAAAAAAAATTCTGTTGAATTAAATTTTTATCCCAGCTGCTAATTAGATAATTTTTATTAATTGAAATTCTAAACGAGTCCTGCGTG